CTCCTTCATTCTGTCAATTATTGTACTTTTTTTTTTATTGTTGACTTGCAACTAAAAGCAAAAATGTCACCTTTTCTAACTAGATATCAGTAATCAGAACTACAATAATACATGTAACGTTAACAAAATTCAAATTAGCGCAATTTTAAGATAGTTTTACAGTGTAATTCTATAATAATTTTACACCTAATGTTAATAATATTATGGATGAATTTACTGTTAAATTACATAAAATTAACACTTTTTTCTTTCGAATATTCGCAGCAAACAACCAAATATCATAACTCAAAGGTAGTTAAGAAGAAAAATTTTTTAACAGATTATTAAAAAAATTCCCAAACACACTAATTTTTATTACTTCACCATAACACTGTACTACGAAATCGTAATAATTACAAAACGTAATAGTTGGCCCCTTTGCATAAGGAAAATTGCACATATATTTTTGGTACGAAATATTGCAAAATTTGATATTAAAAACTTACTATCTATTATTATAAAATTATTTACATACAGATTTTTTATGTAATTGTTTTTTAATAAACCTCAAGATAGTTTGGAATTCCTCAAATGATCTGCAAACTTATGCCAGTTTTGAAAAGTAACACTTTACTTTTGCGAACACTTTTAAGATAAGATGAGGATTAAGATTTAGTAGGATTTCCTATGACACAAAGTTTTAAGAACTCACTTTCTTTTACAATTTCCAACATTTTCAATTTTACTGTCAATCAATTTTACAATTTCTAACATTTTCAAATCGATCATTTGCTGTGTATACAAATGTTACTTTGAGATTACTTAGTTATATTTTTTATAGTTATAAATATTGTTATTAATTTCTCTACTATTAAAAGTTATTATTCTGATTAATAGATAAGAAATTTAATATTTTAAGTATAATAATCAAATTTAATTCCAAAATATTATTTCAATAACATATTACAGTAACAGATTTTAAGATGATTTTCAACAATTCTCTTTACAAAGTTTTGACTTATTAATTACAAACTTAAACAGAATGTTATTGAGAATTCTTATGTATTACATTTTAACCCTTTGATGCAGATGGGACGGTATCTTTTATATATATTATATTCCCTGACGCTCTAATTAGAAGCAACAATATATTTTGCAAATTTTTTAATTATAAAAAACACTCTAGTAGTTACTAACTAAAAAGAATCTTCAAGATTATCAGATTTATAAATGTACTAAAAAATATAAAATCCAAAAAAAAAGTAGTTTGTGTTTCTTTTTCACTTATATTCGAAAATTTATCAATAATTGATATTGTAAATTAAAGCAATTTTAATCATGAATAATTATTTATCTTAGATCTAAATAAGTGCAAATTTGAAATATTATTGTTCGGATGTGAGCCGTGTTTGGAAGATTTTTTCTTTAACGCTGAAAAAAAAAACACTAGTGTTTCATGCTGTATTTCATAACCATAAATTATTAAACTGTGAAATATATTTTTCGCTTATTTTGCCCTAAATTAATAAATAAAAAAAGTATGAAAAATATGTTTAATAAAAATTCTATGTTAAAGAGTAAAAACCGGTAAACCAGTTATTTTGATGTTAACCAATGCATTTCATAGAAATAAGTTCTAATTGGTATTTTTTTTTTTAACTTAGCAATACTAAAGATAAATTTAACATAAGTTAAAATCACACATTAAATAATGTACAAAAACACTTTTTCCACACATAAGAAAACTATATTTAAAAATATATTTGAATTGTATAGTTTTGCAATGTATTTTGTAGTTTGGTATCATAACAATGTCTCTTTGAACCTATTAGCTGTATGAAAAATCCTGTTTAACATTCCTCAAAAAGTCGCCAAAGAAGAAAACGAAGCAAGAGTCTGGTACCTCCTCTCACCAGCAGTGATAAAAAGTTCTATTTTTTAGGAATCGAATCTAAATTTATTTGGAAATTAACGCAAGTATAAAACAACCATGACAGCATGAAAAATAAATAATAAGCAAGAAAAGCTTCTTTAATTGTAAATTTTTTAAGTTTACTATTTTTTTAAGTATGTAGCTTTTGCCCTTTAGTTGCTAAGCCTGCAATTTTTTGTTTATTACAAGATGGCGCTTTTTTAGTTTTGCATGATAGTGCAATTTGATTTAAATTTTATTGCATGCATTTGGCTTTTTCCTCCTGGTTTCATCAGTAAAAAAGTAATACTTCATTTTATTTTTTCCACTCTTATTAGATTAGAATATTACTAGAAATCTTGTTTCCAAAAATTATTCGCTCATAAAAATGGTGTCAAAGCATGAAGTAATTTTTTTAAAAAAAATAAAAATCCTATTTTACAACTTTTTATTTTTTAGAGTATCTGTGTATCATAATCATGGCCCTAGACCTTAATTTTTTTAAATTCTTGCCAAAATAAAAAAAAGTATACACATTGCATAGGGATCGCAAGTTAATAGTTTAGCTAGAAACAAGCAAAAACGTTAACACAATCTAATAAAACACTACTGAGGAAAGAGAGAACCTGGCAACATTAAAACCAGTTTGATTGCTCATAAAACTAAAAGCTTTCAGCTCTTCGTTTCCTTTAAAAAGTCAGATTTAAAATGTCTAAAATGTCTTTTTTTTTTTTTTAGTTCTTTCAAAAAGTCGCATATTTTCTTTCAATTACCTCTTGAAGAGCCAAATAGATGAATGTGACAAATGATATTTTATTAAGATTTTCATTATCGTTTTGATCTGGGGTTATCATTTATTCTTCAAAGCTTTTAAATGTAGGTCAAAACGAAAGAATACTGATGGATATACAAATGGATTTGCAATTTTTTAGTATATTTTCTCAAAAATACTGAAATTACATTCAGTTCTTTAATTTGTATTGAAATGCGTGCTTATTGGTTTTGGTTGTTACTTTAATAATCATATAAACCAGCATATTTTTGAATAATTTGATATTTTTTTATATAACTAATCCTTTGTTGTAAAAATCTCTTAACACGATTTCCAAAGTTTTTTTGTTAAGGGCAGGCACTGAACTTATCGTTCTTCGCCGTGGAAGTGTCGCTCATTTTGCGTTGCCTGGTGAACACCTTGTGACCAAAGTCACGAAAGCGAGTAACATTACACACGCCACCAATACCCGTTCATAGATAGTGTGGGCCAAATTCATACACAACAGAAGATAACAAACAGAGAAACATCCATGCCCTGAACGGGATTCAAACCCATTGGCTTCGCAGTCAGGCACACTAACCGATCGGCTACCTGGCCGTCCAAATTCCAAAATCAACACGCCGTTACAAAATGATTGAAGTTTAAATCTATTTACATTTCGTTGTGATTCTTCTATAATACATTTTATTTTTTAACCTCTTCTTTTCCTTTTTAGGTCCCAGGGAAGACCAGTTATAACCTCAAAGTGTTTGGTACGGCTTCCACTGTGAATACTTAAAACTTTTTCTCCTCTTCAGTCCCGCTACTGCTGAAGAAATCTGGTCAAGGTGCCTAAAAATAATCAACTAAATAGTCATTGACTGAACCTCTTGAATTTCCGAGTGATTCGCAAAATGTAAATATGTAATTGTCTATAATTAAATAATAGAGAGAGTTTATATCATCCCTCTCAGTGATAGAGCTTCTATTGTGCCAGTACAGAGAATTAACGCAGTTGCTGTTGCTAAAAAACTGATTCTTGAAGAGAAATTGTTTTTTCTATGCCGAGTTGGAGTTGCAATACTTCTGTTAGTGCCTGTTTTTAAGTGCCACAAGTAAAGCTCAATATCAAAACACCAAAGACTCTTTTAATTTCTCTGAAACAGTTGTACGAGGGTGAATTGGTGTGACAAATTATAAAAAGTTATATTATTATATAAATATATATATATATTACATAAAGCTTTATTTTTCTCTCATCTGATTGTAAACCCTACTTAATTATGTGGTGAAAAAAAAACTGATTTCTTTTTTAAGGAAGTATGTGTGTGTATAGCAGATTGAATTGGAATCGATATATACATATCTGCTATTCCTGATATTTTTTAATTTTTGCCATTGAATCATCAATTTTCTGTAATAAAATGGGAGTTTTTTAGCAACCACTTTTTTCAGTCATTAAAAAGAGAAGCAGGAATTTTTAGCCACAAGAGTGCCTCTTTACAATGGGAACAGTTGATATTATGAACGCATGTTAAACGTTTGCCTTGAGGCGGTTCTAATGTGTATAAAAATACGGAGTTTACTAAATGAGAAATACTATCTATCGACCTATGTTGAAGTTTTAGATGTAAAATGTATTTTTGAAAAGTAAATAAATGTTTTCAATTTGTGTGCTATGATGTGCTACGGTTATATGAAGTATAATTTATGAATCACTATTCCTGTTTTAAAAAGGCATTTTTTTTTTTAATTTAAAGTTTGATTTCTTTTTTTTTTCATTGATTAGTTCTATTGAAATTTTTATTGAAAAATATTGCTTTTATTTTAAAATTTGTGTTTTGAATCTTTTAATAAAGATTTATTATTTTGAAGTTGAAATTTTTCTTATTACATTACATTAATTAATGTCTATTTTCCTGAAAGGGATTTATTAATGTTTTATTATCCTAACTTTCCGATCTAATTCTTCAGATCTCGTTTTAAGCTATTTGTGAGTGTTCTAACATCCCGAACTTCTTCAAATTAAAATTCAGATTTTAAAATAATCGATTAGAAGAACCTAAGGAATTGGATTTCCGATTCAATATCTTACTTTTAAATAATGCTATCAAAATTCACAAAACTTGACAGTGCAAACTTAAGAAACACTAACTAATAATATACATGTTTCAAGTACATATAACCTCCTTCTAAGAATTCAATGTTTATGGTAATGAATTCAGGGGCTTTCTTTCGATTTACCAAATTTATTATGCACTTGCTTCTAGAATGGACTGAACAGCTTTTTAACATTCAGAGGAAATTTATAAACATTCATTCAGCTTTAATGGAGAGAAACAAATAAAAACACTGTTAAAAAAAATGTACAAAATTTATTTACCTACAATCTGCTATAATTTAAAAGTATTTTTTGATTTTAGAACAGTTTCTACTAATTTCACTCTTTCTTCTAATTTGGTTGCAACATCTTCTGTAAATTTTGTTTGGTTCCTGAGCAAAAAATGGTGCATAAAAAGTCTTAAACTTTCTCTCAACATCTTCAAGTTTTGCGATAGCGATATTCTTTGAAATGCTTGGAGGCAGATTTCTTCTGATTCGTGTAATAATATTGCCAATAGTATTTGACGAAAGAAACGAATCAGAGTTTTATTCATTTCAGAAAATTGGATAGTCTGAAAAGAGAAATAAAACACTTTTACTCTAAATATGATTGATAGAATGTAATTGAATTAGAGATTAACAGACAAATTCAAATGCACATCCTGCAATTACTAATAATACCACTACCACTACAATTATTCAATTCCAGTTCACTAGTATATAAAACATGTTAACAAGATTCTATCTGGAGGTACCTTTAGATTGATGACGGTTTGATTGATGATGGTTAGATTGATGACATTGTCTGAGGTCTAGCCTCACATTGATGACAATGCAGAAACTCCCACCTTGATGTGAACATGCCTAGTTTGATGGGTGAAACAGTTGAACTATTTGTGACTACCACATTGTCGCTATTCAATCTCGATCACACACAACGGAGTCTGCATACACTCGACTGCTAACAGCAACACAGGAGCGACCACGCCAACAACCGAGATCTTAATTCAGCTCTCAAAAGTTTGGTGATCTTAATACTGTTCTTCCGCAAAGCAGCAATGAGTTAACTAGTGGTATCCATTCATTGAATTCCATCACAGATAAAATTCTGGTGGAGAAGTAATGTAGCATATATACCACTACAATTATTCAATTCCGATTCATTAGTATATAAGACAATTTAACAAGATTATATCTGAAGGTACCTTTAGATAGATGAAGACTGACATTGTCGGTAACCTAACAACACAGTAAGATAAGGTCTAGAGATATGGCTAAGTACAGTGAAACCTCCAGGAAGGACCATCTCTATTTATGACTACTTTTAGGAGTCACTGAATTTTTTCATAGACTTTGTGTTGCAGAACACGTTTAGAAGAGACAATTAAAACCTCTCCTAGTGACTTGGAAAACATTCGCACCAAACGCGGAAAAGGTCAAATAAGGAAACACAAAGACATATTGCTACAATAAATTTAACAAAAAAATAAGTAGATTAAAATGTATTTAAAATATTTGTGTGAGGCTCTCATTTAGAAAGCTCTTTTTTATGATCTCTGAAAGAGATCTCCAACCTTATGTAGCAGTAAGAGAGCATTAAAGGCGATGCTATCAATGATTTACTTTTAGAGTTGAAAGTTAAATTAGAAGAAAAATTTATTTTAGAAAAAACAAGCATCTCAAATCAACAAACCTCTTATCTTTTAAAGCTTACTAACTAATTTTTATGATATAAAATTAATTGCAAATTTAAATAAAAAACATAATTGTTCATTTATTTAAAATAGCTTTATCATTCATAATTGGTAAATTTGTTTTTGCACAAAATTATATCAGTTGGGATTATTTTTACACATGCTAAATTTTATTCATCGATCCGTATTTTCATGATGCCAACAGAAGTGGCATTTCTGCACCCAAAAAATGACATTGACTAAAATTAAAATTTTTAGCGTGTGATTGTTAGCATAAAATTAAAGTTTAGCACGTGTAAAAATAAAAATTATGTAACTAATAACGATTTTGAAGTCAATGGAAGTAACCTCAAGAACAACCAACCTCCATCAAAAAACATTTTACTGTCAATATTATTTAATATCAAGAGCAAAGGGCATGGTAGAACAGAACCTGTTATCTGTATAAAAGGGCAGTGTATATAAGCTCTTAACTCATTCGAAAATTCATATTGTTAGGCGTTTAAACAATATAGTGCCATAGGTTGTTGAACTTATTTCCGTGAAATTCAAGATATCAGTAAGACATCATTTGTGTGTTTAAGTTCGTGGATGAGTAGTTGGTCAACAGGAAGCAGGTTAAAGGGTCACTAATGTAGCCACAGGGAGTGTCAAAAAGGGCCATCTTGCGATTAAAAAAGGTCGCTGAAGTTGAAAATGTTATGCTAAAGCAAGCCAAGAGGGTCGTGGTAGGAACACCATACCTCAAGAGGATCTATATGTATCCCTAGAGGCAAAAAGGAACAGAAATGTCACTCCTAGTAAAATAGCTGCAAACCTAGCTAACACTACTGGTATAAAGGTTTCTGTCAGAACAAACTCACGGCCATTCAATCAAGTTGGTTTGTATGCATTCAACCACACCATCGTCAAGAAAGATTATGCTGGTGTAAGGAAAGTATTGGTAGAAGTCACCAGTAATGGGCCAAAGTGATGTTCCACGACAAATACCGTTTTACTGTGACAAGTTATTCTAACCAACAGTTAGCGTGGAGAGAGGGGGAACACGTTATACATAACAGTATGTTCATAAACATGATTGGTGTGGTCCAAACGTTCTGATATGTTCAGGCATCATGCACAGTGGCTGCTACAAATATTTTAGAGAGACAGCGCTACATCCCAGAGGTATCGCAGAGAGATTATTTTGTATCATGTTGGTCTTTTAGGGGTGCTGTAGGTGCACAATTTCTGTTCATAAACAACAATGCACAGTCATACAAGTACGCTGAGGAATCGAACACAATAGAAAGAGAAGGTGTTGTTCGTATGCAATGGCCTGCACACTCCCCAGACCGGTGTATTTATATACCATTAAACGGTACAAAAGGTTACTTGAATCAATTTTTTTTTTTTACCTTTTTCGTAACTGTTACTTATTAAAAATTCTGACCAACAAGAGTAGAACTAATTATATTAAGTAGACGATCACTCTGATAAGTCATAAAAACAGAAAAAAATATCCTAAAATATTTTTTTTAAGTAATAAAATTATACCAAAGGGTCAATAACAAATATAATATCCAATATATAAGTTTCAGGAGTATATTATAATCAAATTTCACAAGTCATATATCATATATTTAATATGCACTACTCTTAACAATAAAAAACACATTAAACTTACTTTTAAAACTGATATCGGCAAATCTCCAGAAATAAACATATGGCTTAGAAAATGAGCCAAGTTGCTAACCTGATAAGATTTCATTGAGGATAAATCTTTGAATTTATCCCATAGTGAGAACTGAAGACACATCTATCAAACAAGCAAATAAAAGTTTGAATTAAGTTTCTTTAAAAAATTAAATTACATGTATAAATTAGGCTCAAACTTACTCGATAGTCTCTGGCAAATTTACAAAACTTCCCAGCTAGATATGCATAGTATGGATTAAACTTCTTTTCTTTTAAAACACAGTGAAGAGTGACATGAATAATTTCTCGTTTTTGTTGATTTCTTAGATTAAGTTTCAATAATTTTTCAAATGCATCCATATAGTCCTATAAAAAAAATACAGAAATTATAACACGGGAGAAAAAACAAATAATTTTTTTAAAAAAACTTATTCAATTGTTCAAATCTGAAAGTTCAATCAAAATTGTTCAACCCTTCGATGCAAAATTTTTATAACATATATTTTATTACTTTTTTCTCTATTTTGTATTAATTTAGGTCAAAATAAAGGGAAAATATTATATTTAGCATTTTAATAATTAGACTTATGAAAGATAACATTAAACACCTTTGTGTCTTTTTCTGTGTTCAAGATAAAATCTTCCAAAAACGGCTCACTTTCAAATAATAATTTTTAAAATTTGCATTTACTAGCAGTTATTTAGATCTAAGAGAAACAGTTATTCATCATTGAAATTTCTTTAATTTAAAAAATCAATTATTCATAAATTTTATAATTTGAATGACATTTTTTGAACTACTTTTTTGGATTTTAAATTTTAGCACAAAGGTAATTCAGATAACCTAACAAATTGTTTTTAGTAACTAGACTATTTTTTATGATAAAAAAAACTCCAAAATATATTTTTGCTTGTAATTAGAGCATCAGAAAAAAAATATATAAAAAGGACACTGGTGTCTTAACTGTGTCAAAGGATAAAGAGATTTGCTTTTTTATTTAAATATACACTAATGTGGTTTAAATTTTTCAATTTGTCTTATTTTTATTAAAACTCAGTTACTAGTTAAATGCATTTATGTTTTTAAACCAAATTGTATAAATAAAAATGTATAAATAATAAATCAAATTGTATAAATAAAAATGTCATCAAAATTTAAAGTAAATAAATGTAAGATTTCATAAAATTACAATTCAATAATCAATAATGTGTTTTAAGTTAATAAATGCAATTGATATAATCGCATAATTGATATAACAATGAAATCTAACAATAAATCAAAATTTTTATCTTCATGATTTTATATTTCATTTATATATTTTTGCAAGTAGTATAACACAAATAAACAGCTTCAATCAGTTTTTTTTTCTGTCTTATCAATTTATTATTTGTCTGTATTATTTATATTTCGTCTTATCAATTGTCTTATTAACCTAAAACACTTTCCTGTTTTGATTTTATTCTCCATCTAATTCAATCTTGATAAATGAAACTATCAAAACAATTGGGAGCAAATAAATGTGAGATATCATAAGATTCCTAAAATAACAATTCAACAATTGATATTGTGTACGAAGTTAAGAAAAAGGAACAGCATGTTATAATCAGCTAAAATATCAGAAACTGAAAAAAAATTTTCAGCACTTAAAAAACAATGCAGATTGTAATCGTAAACAATTTTAAAGGAGATAAAACTTGGAACTAAAAGTAGCATTTGTCTTCAATTCCTAAATTGAAGTATCGAAAAAAAATTCACATTTCTTTCTTTTTTTTTTTTTTTTTAANAAAAATTAAAAAAAAAAAAAAAAAAAATTTCACATTTCTTTCTTTTTTTTTTTACTTTTTCGCTATTGCACTTTTCTGCCTTTAGCATAGCTAACTGCTGACTCATTGTTAGATGTGAACAAAATATGCAGGATGATAATTTTACAAAAATATACAGGATGATAAATAATCACACTCTTCTTTATTTCTAAGTATGAAATTAAAAGTATATATCAAGTTATAAAAATCTACCAATTAAGAAAAGAAAATTCATAAAACTCTGACAAAACATTATCAAAGGCAAAGAAAGTTTTAAACTTTTTAAAAACTAGTTTATTGATCAAATAAAGTAGAAAGGTGGCTTTTACCAAATATTAAACCTTTCTACTCCACAGGTTTAAAATAAACTAACATTATTTTTTATGAGTTTAATGAGTCTCAATTTTTTTCAAACTTAAATAGTAAAGATTTTTTATATTTGATTTGCATTAATTTCCATTTAAATTTTATGTAACAAGGATTCTAAAAGCATACAAATGCTTCAGCAGAATAGGAAAAAGCACTGAAAAACAACGCATAGAAACAACTGTTGAGTTAAAGATTTTTCTTTAAATTTCTAAATACTTGATTTGGAAAGATAGCGTTCTTTTTTAAATTGAATGTAATAAGGATTTTAAATATATACAAATGCTTCAGAATTGGAAAAAGCATTGAAAAACAACACATAGAAACAACTGTTTAGTTAAAGATTTTTCTTTAAATTTTTAAGTACTTGATTTGAAAAAACTGCTTCAGACTTTTGCTTAGGAGTTTCAACAAATTGATTTTTTTCAATCGTAAAACCTAAGATTGTTTAATTATTAGTAGGGCTGCAGGTTTGTTGCAGCGCGAATTTTCACGAAATTGTCATCTTTTTTCCTAAAATCCGCAAATTTGTCAACATGTCTTGACTTTTGCGAAAATTGCTAAAAATTTGATTTTTTCATTTTTTATTTATTATTTTTATTAAGCAGAATTTTTTATTTTCCTCAACCTTAAATTGAACATGTAAAATTGATTAGATATTTAGGGGAGTCAATCAATAGCAAAATGACATGAAAATAGTTCAGAGATAAGAGATAATCACAATCTTGTCAACTAAGGTGGTCTTTCTACACTTAGGGAGGGTAATTACCTTCCTGAAGTCAGTAAGAGTACAAAAGAAATTGGAATCACAAAAGAAGGAAAATGTTATAAATCAAATCTTTGACAGAAAAATTGTTATACATGCTATTGCACTGGGCAATGAAATTTCTACTGCCTTTCTACATATCCAGTTAATTTGTCCTCGGCGGCTTCTTGTGATTTCCTAAATATGGATAAGTTTTCTTAGATGAAGGGGGGGGGACTAGTAGTTAGTAGGGACTTGTAACTAGTAGTTTGAATGTAGAATGTTTGAGTTTTCACAGCAATTACTTCTTACAAAGCAACGGTCAAGGAATTGCGCGTTGGTGAAGGAAAATTGATCGAGATTTGGAAATTAAAGATCGAGCGCTCCAAAATTGGCAAAAGTCGTCGAAAGATCGTTTTCTAAGTATAAAAATTTATTAAGTGATGAAAGACGAAGGATAAATGAGAATAATCTGACAATGTACAATACTTTGTACCAAAATTCTGCTCATTTAAATAAAAATATTAATATTGCGTGAAATTCAAAGAAACACGTTTGTTGTGCATTTTTAATCTTTTTGTATTATTTGCGCAATTTCTGTCTTTTGCATCATTTATATAAGAAATTTCTTTATGTTTAGAATTTGTGTAATTTTCAAAATTTCCCGTGAATTTGGGGTCCTTTTTCCCGCGACAAACTTGCAGCCCTAATTATTAGTGAGTACACAAATGAATAAACTTTAAACACTGCTTGAGTGCAATTAATAAAATATAGTTTTACGATACTCTGTTGTGATATGGATATTCCTTTTACCTAGTGCTGAAGCTTTTATTCAATCAATCAAACTGATAAAGGGAAAAATGTTATAGGAATGAAGTATTTGTAAGTTTATAAGAGGAAATTTTCTGTATAAAAGCCTATCAGAGATAATTGTAACACTGAGGGAAAAACCCTGAAAATTTTATGTGCGAAAACTCAATATCAAGATATATAGTATACATGTTTTTATACATAGTATACATAATATTTTTAAACTAAGGTTTATAATTAAATGACCTTCCAATGAAAAATATTATACCTTATTAAATAATTTATGCAAAAACTTAGTTATTACAAGAATTGCTATAAATCACATGAATATATATGAATCACGATATTGGATTTTAAGAAAGTGAAATTATCACAACTTGAGATTAAATTGAGAATATCAAAAATTAAGATTAAATTGAGAATATCACAATTTGAGATTAAAAATGTAACAATTGTTGAATACCTCTGCTGTCATTATAATACAAAATACTGATTTTCTAATTTCAGTATTCATATGTTGTTTTCGTGCTAGTTCTAGTATCTTTTCACTAATTGCTGCTTTTGGTAAGTTGAAGCTTTGCTGCTCACTTTTCTCACCTATAAGTAAAACAATACTGTTAGAAAACTGCTGAACCTTAATTTTTAAAAAAGTTATGAGATGAAATACAACTTTTTTTACTTTTAAAATAAATTTTAAAAAAAGCCCTAAAATTTGAAAATATTGTTCACCGCCAAAAAATCTTCCTTATGATCAAAATCAATGATTCAATCAATTATCTTAAAAAACTGTCGCCCATAGCTGCTCCATTAAAATAGTCCCAAGTATCGGGCTTGTGACTATACCTCCTCTATGCTATCTCGTTTGGTAAAAAATTAATATTGGAACCAGTTGTTTTTAAAATTTGTAGTGGGGTGGAGAAGAGAAAAAATTAGGGATGCAAAAACAGCAGGGCTGCCAACTTTCTATGCTTTTTGTAAAACTTTATTCTAGTGGTAGCTATGTTTATGTTTTAATGCATTATTTTTTTATTCATTTAAACTTATTTTTCACACCACAAAATATAAATGATTTAAAAGTTCATATGCAACGCCACTTTGTTCCAGTTCTCTGATGGTGAAGTCTTTTAAATGCTGGTAAAATTACCAAAAAATCTGAAAGATTTGGTAATTAAATGTCTACCACTTCATAAAATAATTTTCAAAAAGCGTAACAGTCGGCAGTTTGAAACAGTAATCTGCTGCCTCACTCCTCCTATTTACGAAACGTGCATAAAACCTGCAAAAATTTAATAGTTTCAGTCCTTCTAGTAATAACTTTTTAGATTTGAGAAATGTATTAACTAATGAACAGTATAAGTATTTTTGAAACAATCATTTTTCTGAATTAATAGCGTACACCAGCTACACGTGCTAAGATGTGTTATAATTAAATGTAATATTAATAATTAAATGGGGGTGATAGAATGAAATGGAACTTCGCATTATGTCCACCTTTAGATTCTTTATTATTTCCATCTACCCAAGCAGATCCAACAATCCACCAACGTCCTCTTTCATCAGCTTTTAGCAAATCTTCATAGGATATTACTAGCTCCTGGATAGAACTACCTAAAGACAATGAAACATAAATTTAAACGCTACTTATTCATAAACAGATTAATAACTAAAAATTGTTATTGCTAAAAGATCAAAAAATATATATAACACAAATCATAAAAAACGGTAACAAGTCACTTTATTCAAAATTTATTACCTTTAAAACTTTCAGAGCTATAAATAGTAGTAAAAATTTTAAAGGCTTTAAGTAAAAAGTTTTAAGATAGATTGTAAATCACACAAAAACAGCACTCATGGATAATAAAAGAAGAAGAAAAGTTTCATGCAAACAAATTTATAATGTGTACCTTTACGAACATATCCCTTCAGAAGTTTTTTACTATGCTCAATTATAGATGGATCATAGTCAGGAATTTTGTAAATGTTATTATTCTTTATGGCAGTTAGAGTATCCAACATAAATTGAACTCTAGAACTGGAAAATATATTTCTTTTTAGACAAAAACAAAAGGACAGATCATACAAAAATTATACATTGATATACAATACTAAAAAATACTTGACAAATTTAAAAAGATTTTCTTTTGTGTAAAATCACGATCAATATGCTAAAATGGAAGGTTTAAATGTAAATCGGAATACTACATATAGATAATAAATCAGAACTCTTTTCCAAACTTATTTTTAACTTGTATTAGAAAAACAATTTGAAAATCCTAACTTTAATAAATGTATAAATGCTTATAACATATAGAGGGTATTTCTGTAATGGCCCCTTAAATACATATAATACAAAAACTTATCAAAAAGAAAGTTAAAAAAAGTGTGTCGCATTTTAGGTTGTAACATTAATATTTAACCATTAAGATTAATATTTAAACAAGAAAAAAAATTGAAATCTATCAAATCACTAGTGGAGAAAATAGAATGAAAAACATAAAAAGCAGTTTAATTGCCGTGTAAAACTTGGAGAAGTTTCTAATATTCGCCTTTTAACTCCTCTCTGTTCTCTGGCAATCAGCTGAGTCTATTTTAATTTAACAAACTGTGATACTTTTTGTTACTTTTCAAAAACTATTTTATAACGGAAAGCTCCTGTTAAACTGATCTCAATAAAATCTTTTAACTGTTTTTAAAAATTTATGATTTTTATTGGAGTTTAGGCTTGAAAGTCAACAATTAATTTTATGAATCAAGAATGGTGCCAGCAGAGGAAGTCTAGTAGTCTAGTAGGAAGTCTTTTTGTCTAGTAGGCTATTCCTTCCCTTCAATTTTTAACTTTAATAAAAATAAAAAAAAGATCTTCAAATTTCTTTTTAAATTTTTATGAGACAAGCTAGTTTATTTTTCATTTTTCCTTTTCAAAAAAAAAAAATACAAAGAAGACCAATTTTTGGACTGGTTATTACTCTATCTTATTTTTATTTTTCCGGTAAGTAATAGAAAAATTGTACAAAATTTTTGAACAGTTTTTATAAGTTTAAACAAACATATTCCCTCCAAAAAAAATTTCAAAAACTATGTATTTAAATACTTAACCTGACATAACAAATACACAATTTATTGAAATTTTAATTTAAAAGAAAAGAAATAAATAAAGGCTTAGCTTATATTACTCAGTTTCCTTAACAATAAATGTTGCTGCTTTGGCTTGGATTGATAAAATCAATTCTTTTAATTTCAATGGATCATCTTTTCGCAAAACAAATCCTATGCCTGAAAAATGGTTAATGTTCAGTAAGGTTAAAACTATTTTTTAATCAAAAGAAACACTCTGTATTTTTTCAAAAAATATACTTACTTTTTAAAAAGAGCTGTATCAGTTCAATATCTTTACTTTGAAATGACTTAATAAAGAGCTCAAATATGTCAAAAATTAAAGTTGAATGAGTAACCTGAAATTGTAATAATAATACATTATTATTTTTAAAAAGAATAATTGAAATCTGAAGAATATAATTTAAATAATATCACTGTTTTTTACAAGAACAATTAAAAGTTTACAAATATAGAGAGTAAAAAAATTCACAAAATAGATAATTGTACATGAAGAAGTATTACTATGTATAAGTGGTAACCAATACAGATAGTTGAGTATCACAATTAAATGAAGTTTGAAGTAAAATAAATTTATAAAAACTAAGAAAAAAAACAAAGGTTACACAGAAATAATTAAATTTATAAAAATATAAATCAAGATTAAAACTCTGGGAACAAAAAGAATTTATATAATTTATTTTGCAAACTACAAAAAACTTTGAAAGTTTTGTGATGTTTTCATTAATTTCTAAACTATATTTTTCAATAATGCAATATTTCTTGAATAAAACATTACAGTGGGTTTCTAGAATTGGAGTATAACTTAATTATTAAATTTTATGCCTAAAATATTAACATTAGCTAAACATTAATCTCATAATGTAAAATCATTTCATATTTTAGACATAACAGACATATATTATATTTAAATTTTATTCTAAAATGAAGAGTAAGATATTAATTTCACAGACGTCGATTATAGGTGAAACCTTATATGCAACAAAATGATATAATAAGTTTTGTTACTTTTTTCTTAACAGAACACAAATGAAAATTGCTTAATGTTATAATGTTTCTTCCTAAATTGTTAATCAAGATCCTTCTTCATAGAATGGCTGAAGTTCGAAAAAGGTTTAAACAATTAATCCTGCGAGTATTCGAAGGCAGTATGCCTGAACCATGTATATAATTAGCAGACAATACCTAATTGGAATTTTACAAATATTATTAAAAATAAAAATGTGAACGAATTTTTTTTAAATTCTTTTCTTAAAAAATGGGATGTCCTGAAATCAGAAATATCAGGACAAGATATTTTTTATCAGAAAAATTATTAATATCATGACAACTATGAACCTTGCATGATATTGATAATGTAAATTAATATTTACTTCAAGTGAAAAATGTCTTAATTTAATTTTTTGAGTCGAGCATTGATTTATTATAACATTTTTATCACCATAAAGAGTAAAAATATTACTATATATAATACTTTAATAAAAACAAATATAGTACATTATAAAATTTTTTATCTCTATTTTTAAAGAGAAAAACTTTACAGTGAGGTTTAAAAATCAATGCAATTAAATTAGATATGCATAAAAAATTAAAGACAGTTAAATAAAGCAAAATATTAAAAACATTCTCTTAAATAAAAATTAAAACCCTAACTATATTTCAAAAGCAAAAGAACCAAAAATACAAGTAAATTAAATGTACATAAAAAAAATAAGACTGTTACAAAAAGAAAATATTAAAAACATTCTCCTATATAAAAATTAAAATCCTTATTATATTTCAAAAGCAAAAGAACAAACAATGTAATTAAATTAAATATACATAAAAAAATAAAAGACAATTACAAAAAAAGGATATATTAAAAACATTCTCCGAAATAAAAATTAAAACAATTGTTTTATTTCAAAAGAAAAAAAAGAACAAACCTTGAAGTTATAGAGATGGGAAAGAAAAACTATGAGGTTGTTGCATTCTTTGCCTTCGCCATAATTCTCAGAAGATTTAAGTAAAACATCTAATCTCTCTACAATCTTCTGTAAAAAGAAGGCACCTAAAAAAATTCAGGAAAAAGGTTTATTAGAATGAAATAAAAAATAGGAACAACCTAGTTGAATTCAGTGCAAGCTAACAAATCATTTTGCATTTTGGCAAGTTTATAAAAAACTTTCACCTAAGTACACAACTTTCTTTTTGAATTAACATAGGGTGAACTGATTAAGCAGGAAAAACAACAGGTGAAAGTATGTCTACAGGCCTCACAACTGATCAGTCTGTTAAATAACAAAGAAAAGTTGAGAAAATACACTTTTATCCTGTATTAGCAAAAAAAAATTTGAACAAATATCTTTTCTTAGAAAACTTCCTTATTTAAAAACTTGGCAAAATGAGTATTTTATACTCATGGCTGACTACAAAATGAGCTAAAACTTAAAAATTCCAGAATTTTAAAATGACATTTCATGTCTTTTTTAAATACAGGAAGGCCACTTTCCAAGAAAAGAAATTCCCAGTAATTTCCAAGTGCCAAGGTAAAATTTAAAAAGTAGATTAGCAGAATTCTAATCATAAAATCATTTAAATTTACATACATAATTACACCTCATAAAAATTTAAAAATGCAAGAAAATTTTTTTCTTCCTACATCTAAATTAGTTCATTACTTTGCATGTATTATTTTCATGATATTAAAGAAAATTATAATAAAAATTTATAAGACATTAAAATAAAAAGAATAAATGAATAAAAAAAGTTCAGGGTAACCTTGAAAATTTTTTGTTATCTCACTGTAAAAACGCACCACTGACCATATCTCGTGCATGGCGGGCAATTGTTTAATTTGAACATTTTAAATATACCGAACTGACCGTACAGATTACCAACACAACTGCAACTGAGCACAGTTGTTCTAAAGGAATGCCGGGACACGATGCAGACACTCGTTGGAATGCACACGTCACCTCTTAGAGCACACAACAAAACGGCCCTTACTTACAATACAACTCTCATATTTGCTAACATACTTATAACTTGTTATTTCATAAGATGGCCTAACAAAATTCATAATATGGGCATATTCATAATATTCATATAAGACAGCATAACAAAGTATTATATATCTAAAATTGCTTTACCAATTTCTGAGCCCACATTTGCATGCAACAATGCAATTAGCATTGCCTGGTCCAGGATGATACGAGCTGGGGTCTGTACAGGTGCAAAGAGCATTTCCGATATCAAGCTGAAAATAGCTTCATTCATATCTAAAAGAGAGTAATAAAAATTGTAAACATAATGAACTATAACTTTATTATTGAAAATATTAAAATGTTACATTTACGTGATTAAAGCTTATAGAAAACAATAGCATAATTTTATTTCTAAGGATGATTCCTAGAAGCCAGAAACTGTGGTATATATTCTTAATAGGATGAATCTAAATATAACTGAATAATATCAGCTGTTAGCTTATTTAATTATTTTTACATTAAAATTATTATTTTGACAAAAATTTCTAAATGTTTATTCTATTAAATAATGATCTATACACTTTATTATAAAACAATGATCGATTTCATATACCAATCCATTAAATTACCATTTTGCTTTGTTAATTATTTTAGCAAATGAAATCTTGTATTTGATTACTTGTGTACACACACCTGCCAACATTGGAGAAATAAAATAACGGAGATATTACTAACCAACCAAATTTTGAGTTTACGATTATTGATGTTCAACTCCGTAGCCCTGTAATTTTGAATCCAATCCAGAAGACAAGGGAATTCCTGGATCAAGTATTGGGAGAAATTTGCCTTCGTGGAAGACTTTTTGGTGAAACTAACCTGCATTTCAGTAACATGGAGAGGAAAAACCATGAAAAAATGAGGAAGTTTAGAGACAGAGGTACTAGCTTAGGCACTGCCTTTGTCATATGACCAGGACCAAAATTATGTGCCATTCAGCCTTGGCTATTAAAAGATAGAGCTCTGAAAAAGGGAGGGGCTATATCCTTTATAATGGTAGAGTGGTGTGTGATGAATGCAGTATGACCAAGAATTCACTTATAAAACACTAAGGAGTCTTAGAAAAAACTTGAATTGTTTATGCATTTAGAGCAAGGTTTGTTTTGCTAAATTTAAAGCCCATATAAGAGTATACATTCTTATTCCAATACAAGTAAAGAATCAACGCACACATATATTAAATATTTCAATACTTTCAAGCCAAATTGCATCAAAATATTTTAAACTTTTAATTTATGTAATATTTATAAAATGATGAATAAAACACTAGAAGATGTTTCAATTAATATTAAAAGTTAACAATGAAAAGACAAAGGTTGCAAATGAAAAAATATTTTTACAGTAATCATAAAAAAAAAAAAAATCAGAAAAAAAACTTGCGATAGATTTATTAGAGTGAAAAATTTTAAGTACAATACCAGTTAAAAAAAATAATAAAATTTCTGTTAAACATATATTTGAACTTTTTTATAAGAAAAATATAGTTTTGGTTAGAGTAAAGAAGACAATTTGCAATTTTTAAAACTATAATACCATTTCGGCTGTATTTCATATACAATTCTTCAATTTGGTGGCATATATTCTGTAAATTGCTTTCACTTAATCTAAAACAAGAAACCTAATTTTTAATTAAAAATATTTTATACAACATTTATAAGTATGCACAGACATTGAATGCATAAACACTGATCAGACACTGCTACAATGTTCTACATTTGAATATAAAAAAAATATCTATATTTATTTAGTTAATTCGCTAAACTTTTTTTTAACTCATGTAGTTAAAATTAAATTTATATTATTATACATTACACATAAACTTTTATGTTGATGTTAAAATAAGACAAATGTGAAATTCTTTTTCAGATTTAAAGGAACCAAACAACTGGCACCACATCATTATCTTGATGGTTCAGCCTATCCAAAGATGTGTATAATTTAGCATTTAATGAAGAATAATTTTTACTTATTGTGCTTAAAATTAAAAAATTAATTTTCATCTTGAGTTAAATATCTCAAATATATTTTCAACATGAAATTAAAAAAATATATTAACTTTCTTTTTATTCTGATTTTTTTTTTTTTTTTTTTTTTTTTTTTTTTTTTTTTTTTTTTTTNTACAAATAAATGTTATATCATTGCTATTTAAACAAAAGTGCAAATTTACAAATACTTGTGTAATGCAAAAATGAAAAAGGGTAAAATAAAGATCCCAATTAATAATAATTATAAAAAATTGAATATAGTATTTTTTAATACAGTGAAGAATATTCAAATAACAGTTTCATTATCGTTATTTAAACTTAAGTCCAAATTTATAATTACTTTTAAAATATAAAGACAATAATCATATTATAAAATCAAATATAAATAACAATTAGAGTGCTGGTGGTTTTTTTCCAGAAAATATAGTACAAAATATTTAAATAACAGCTTCAATAGTACAACTTAAGATAAAGCAAAGATTTATAGTTAATTCTTGATACAAAAATCATGAAATAAAAACAATATTTAAGAAAAATAAATAATTAAAGTATTCTATAAATATATTGTGTATTATTCAAGTTGCACAGTTTGAAGAAAAGTGCAATTTAATAAATAATTTTATAATTAAAAAAAAAGAAATATAAAAAATAATAAATAAAAATTTAATAGCAAGAATTTTTTAACAATACCTATTTAAAAGGCCTTTTAGTTGTTTTTTAATTCTAAGACAGTCTTCCTGTTTTTTTTCACTTGCGGCATCTTTTCTTCTACTTGGTGGAACATATGACTGAGAACTATCACTTGTCTTTTGAATAACATTGCCAGATGAATCTCTTAGACGTCCATATATATCTTCCCAGACCTTTGGCTTTTGGATATTTTTGTTTTTCGAGTCTACTTTTTTGAAATCCATTTCACTTTCCTCATCTTCATTAGCATCATTTTCAGAATCCATAGCATCTGATTCAAACTCCTGGTCATCTTCTTCAGAGTCAGTTTGAGATTCAGAAGCACTATCATCCTTTGTTTTTATTCCCTTCTCTTTCATGAGCTCCGTCAGTGTTCTGTTTTTACGTTCAGGTCGCTTAGAAGTATTCTCGGTTGGCTTTTTCTGAAGCACCGAAGAACCTTTAACAGCAGCTAAATCTTCTTCTAAACAATCTGAATCATCTGACAAAACTGTTCCTTTGTCTTTTCTATCAATAGCACCAAGAATATCTTTCAAGTAATTAAAGAAGTATGACAATAAAAAATTAAAGCATACTAACATAAATTTTTATTTTGTGTTAGTTTGCTTTATTTAAATGTTAATAATATACTTGTTGACATTGAAGAGCGTTATTTTTAATTTAATTTTATGCATAATTTTTCCAAAAATGGGCAAAAAAGTAATTTTAGTAAAAACAATTATAATAATAAAATTTTTTAAAAAATTAAAAACGAAAACTATTTTTTAAGTGCTTTTTCTTACATATTTTGATTTCTATGATTAGCATTCAATTGAGCCAAATGATCTGAATCTTATTAGTACTTGTATGCAAAATTCATGATTTTTTTTTTTACAAAAATTGATATTTGATTTAAATCTGATTTATTAGATATTTTTATGATTACCAATAAAATCACTGTTATTTTCGTTCAAGCTAAACATCTTAAAATTTTAAATACAGGGAGGAAATTTGTTAGTTAGATACCTAATTCGGAGTAAATTAGTTTAGATCAGAATAAATTAAAGAGAAAAAATACTGTAAGTAAAAATATTTGGGCAAAACAAATCGTTCTTCAATATTGGTAAACACTAACAACATATTTAATTTCACTTTAAAAGCACTTAAAATATTTAAATAACCATATAACTTAATGGGATGACTTAATGGGAAACTTAATGGGATAATTTCCTTCCTGATTTAGACTCGAAAAACAATTTTGCTTGTTTACTGAAGACATTTCTTATTAATATTTGGCCTATCTTTTGTTTTTTTAAAAGCTATATCAACATTTTAAAATCATTTTTCACATGCATCAAGATAATTTTATTTCAATAAACTTTGTAGGCTAGGGTAACATACATTAAAAAAAATTTTATAGGTCATACTTTTTAACGTAAGAAAAATTCTGAATAGTAAAATAATAAGATCAATAAAAATATGTTAAATAAAGGATACAGTCCAAGCCATCATCTTGTAACACAACTGTCTTTTTCTTATTTAATTTTAACAGTTTTCCTAATCTCTTTATAGTTACATCTTCTTCTTGATTAGCTTCTAATAGTTGCAGTTTTCTCACACTTTCAAACTGGAAAATCGAGTTCTTTATATGTAATTTTTTATAACATAATATTAAATATCAAATGTAAATAATCTAAATACATTTACTTAGATTTCATTTTTTCATTTCTGCTCCAATAATATACTCAAGTTTCAATTTATTTTACTATTCAGGCAATATAATTTAATTTTTTGAAACACAATCTTAGTTAACATGCTTTGTTAAGTAAAGATTGTGTCTAAAAAACAATGCTAATAGTTCATAAAAATAGGATAATTTTTAATTACACATTTAAACCTCCTGAAATTAAATGCAACACAGGATTTTCAAATATTAATTTTTGTTTGCTCCATAAATTTAAATATCAATTATTTTAAAATAAATATTCCATTTAAAAAATGTTTTTGATTGTTTTTTTCTAAATATTGGTAAGTTGAGCACTTTTAAGTAGAATTTTTCTTCAGAATTTAGTTATTTTCATCTAACTTTTTATCAACAATTAGGATTCACATCAGCAATGAAAATTTAGAGATTCAGTAGGACCACCTAGGTATTCATTTAATGGTGAAAAAAATTAATATGATAGACAAACTTGAGAACTTTACAATTACATAATTCATGTTTATGGTACTCATAAAAAATTATTAAATGTCATCTTTAACACACTAAAACAAAATACATTCACTATCCCAAAAAGATTGAAGATAAGTAGTATTTATTAAAATTAAGATAAAAAAGCTAAAATAATATTAGTAAATACATTTAACATAGAGATTAAAATGCAGAGACCACATAAATAACTAAATGAGGAAAACAGAGAATGCAAAAACTAACAAAATATTGAAAATCAATTATCTTATATGATAATATTCAAAATAAAATCAATTCTAAAAAGAGCAACAAAAATATTTTTTTTATTGATCTTTAATGAACAAATGATCTTTTTATTGATCTTTAATGATTAACTTTCATGAACAAATAAGCCTGGGAGAAGAGTCTATGTATTCATCAGCCACAATATATTTTTAATTCTGTTTTAAAGTGCACGAATCTAGCTAGATATAATTGATATAAACAGCAAGATGAGTGTGCTTCAAAACTGAAGGTGCCCAAGTTTTTGAAAAATTGCCTAGCTCTTTTATATTTTTATAGAGATTTCTGCAGTGTAAATGTATATACATTATTTAAACTTTCAGTGTAATATAAATAAATTAAGCAGGGGTCTGTCCAGACATTTTGTGAAAAGTCCTACTATGAAAAAACTACTCATAATTTGTGAATATAAAATAAGCGTTAAAGCATTCTTTCAACCAAGGTCCTGCTTTTGTGAATTTGTGTAAATAGGGTCCTGTTATTGCAAAAATTGCTTAAAACCTTTTCAAGAAGTTTTAAATTACAAATAGATACAAGATTCTGCTCAACAATAGCTGCTACTAAATTAGAGATGCCACATACAAATATTTGATATTTAGCCTATACTGCTCAACACAGAATATTCATTTCGGACGAATAATGGAAACAAATAAAGTCACATTTTTAATAATTTTCATTGACATATTTTAAATAACACAACTTAGTTATGTATCACTTTTGATGTGTTACACATTAAGTAAACTTAAACAATTCTTATATTTATAATAGTATTTCATTTTAAAAATTGCCATAAATTAATTTTTATTACATAATAATCTATTAATTTTATGAATAATTAATTGATTATGAATCATAAATTGATTAATTATTTATTTACAAAAAAAATTATCATTTAATAACAATAAGAATGCGCACACGATGTTTGTTAAAGTAGAAATATTTTCTTAGAATACTAAATTTGAAATTTAAACTTAGGGACCCTTGGAAAACTTAGTTCGTTTCGAACCATCTTTCTTCTTTTTTTCACCCCCGGGAAGGGTTTATTCGATTAACAAAACAATAATGAAGATAAACAAATTTGTGAAGGGTCCGATTAAAAGATAGATCACTTTGTGAAGGGTCCGTTTTTATGAAAAGATATTTTGTAAAGAGTCCGTTAACGGACCCAAATTTCTTATAAACAGACCCCTGTTAATCGTAAATAAAATTTAACTAGGTTTCAAATTTTTTCAAAGCTTTATTGCTTATTTGAGAATTACAAATATTTTTCCATTACCCAAAACTAGATTACACCAAACTGCTGCAAATTTTTTGTGAACAAGAAAGACACAAAATGAGAGGACCTTTACTGAAAAGTTACAGCACAACTGCACTAGCTTAAAATGAGTAAAAAGAAAGGAAGAGGAGATAAACTCAATAAACCACAACTGCCAAAAATATAAGTTTCAGTTAATAAAAATAACCTAAAAAATGTTTTTATTATTCTCACATATAATAAAGGAAAAAATCTGTGAACTTTGTGTTATTCTTCAGAATAGCATGCAATATAATTCTTTTTTACTTTATTTTGTAACTATATACAAACAATGGAATAAAATAAATAATGAAAGAGCTTACTGTATTTTGGTTCCTCTTCTTTTTATTTTTCAATTGTGTCTCAGCTTTTCTTTTTTGACTTTTGCCACCCATTTCAGCAACAAAACAGGTTTATTCTCTAAAATTTAAAAAATAAAACAATAAGTTTAAATGTAACTATTACAACAATGTCATTTTCCTAACAAATGCTAAAAGTAAATATGTACTTAATATTTGAAAGACAAAACACTTAAACAATATAATTTAAGACATGTTTGCAATATTTATTTTAAATGTATGTTCAATTTATTTGAATCGATAAGATGATAATCATACAGTAATAAATAATATAGTTTTAACTGCTCTTTAAAATAATTTCTTTTAAATTTTTTGATTTATTATACTTGTTCAACATTTTTATTCACTCTTTTAAATAACAGTTAAATAACAGGAAATTTATCTTATTCTGAACCATATATTCGAAAGATAAAATACGTTTAAATTACAAATGAGTCTAATATATTGCGTCCATCTCAATATATGTAGTAGGCTAATAGGAAAATGCAAGTCTCTGCGAACTGCTGACATCATTCTTATGGCTTATTGCAGTGAACCTTGCAGATGGATTGCAAAGTAATATTGGTAGTTTCCAAAGAGCGAGATTTTTACACTAGCCTACAATGCATACATAATAATAAAATAAGATAGATGAGATGTAGAAATTAGAATCTTAGTAACGAAGCTAAAAATTATACAAATACACTGTTCAGTAATATTGAAATTTTAATTTAAAAAATTAATTAAATGAAAAAATAAAAATTAATTATGATAAGTAAATAATGATTAAATGTTACAATAAGTCATATTTATTGACTAATGTTTATTTAATGTTAAACTAATTAATAATAAAGAAGTTGTGCTAAAATCAGTTATGTAATGTTACTATGATAATGCTAGTGTGTTTATTTATCGAAATGAACAATGATAATAATTAAATTAACAAATAATAGTTGGGGAGATTTCCCTAACGTGATCTATGGAAGAATAATCACAAAGTCTTGGCAACTTCCGGGCAGAGACCAGCAAGAAACTTTAAAAAAATATCAAAATACCATCTCGAAAGGCATAACTCGTAGAAACACCCAAGCAAACATCTACATGCTTTTTTTCTTAAAAAATGCAAGTTTAACAGCTATTTTGCACCTTGGCGATTGTGGTTGGCGTGACAGATCACGATACAGAAATATCCCCACTTTGTCAAATTTACTAACAAAAAAAACTAATATATTTCTAATTATAAGTAGCAACAATAATAAAATAAAATAAGCAAAGAATAAAGTACAAAAAAATTTTTCGAATGGAATATTGCTTGCTAATTGATAAATTTCCATATACACCCATATCTTTTATGATAATTACACCCATAATGTAACAACTAACAAGAAAAGAAAGACAATGTTATAGACAACAAAACTACGTGTATTTTCTTATTGTTGTGTTTTATTTATTTTAAATGCATTTAAAATACATAAGTAAATAGTGTTAAATGATATATATTAAAAATGCTTTTCTTTATCAGATAAATGTTCTACAAACACAACATGCTTACAGAAGAAAAGAAATTAAGTTTATGCTTTGGACAAACTGATGATAAATTAACACTTATGAGTATGAAGAATTGAATGTTATACGTTGTCAGTGAACTACATATTTAAACACTTAAAATGCGCAGCAGTTCGAAAAACTTGGAAATTTCTAATAGTGCAAGAAAGATAGTTTCGTTTCAAAAACTAATCAATCTAAGAAAGAAATAGCCAAATAAAAGAAATAAACATAAGGTACCAGTACAAAAACATGTTGTAGATTTTCTTTACTTAATAAAAATAGGGAATAACCTGAAAAAAACTTATTCAAAGGTAGTTTTCGTCAGTGAAACTCGTGTGTCCCTGGTTTGTATTAGTCCCTGGTTTGTTTATTTACACTGGATTTTTAACACATTGCCAAATTTGAAATAGAAATATTAAGAAAGGTTATTTTTATAAATGAATGGTAAGGCTCAACTACTAGAAAAATTTTGTCTTAGCACTAAAGGTTTAAAGTGTCGATTGAAATCCAAAAAGATGTTTTGTTCGTTAAAAGAAACTTTAAATTCTTAATGATCTTATATTGTTTTTTGAGTTTATTTTCTCATGAAGAGAAACTGAAAAAGTTTATTCCCTTACATTCTAATGCGAACTAGAAAAATACCACGTTTCCGAAGGAATCAACCGTATCGTCTGTCGGTTGCTTTATTTTATTTGTAAATAGCGTAAATCCCTCATTTCTTGTATGATTGTTTCAAACTATTAAAAATAACAATGCGTTATCTATATCTTTAAATTATATGCTATTTTACTTGACACAATGGCTTTAATCAATATTTTTCGCCCAAAATATATTTTCTGCTTAAAATCAGTAAAATTTTTTCCTCATAGAAATTATAGTAAAATATTATCTAATTTTAGTCGTCAAATTTTTCACAATCAAACCTTTAAACACCCTCCTTGCACCTTCCTTATAAGAGAATCTTTACCATGTAGTGTTGCATGCACAAGGTANTATTTATTTACAAAAAAAATTATCATTTAATATCAATAAGAATGTGCACACGATGTTTGTTAAAGTAGAAATATTTTCTTAGAATACTACATTTGGAATTTAAACTTAGGGACACTTGGAAAACTTAGTTTGTTTCGAATCATCTTTCTTCTTTTTTTCACCCCCAGGAAGGGTTTATTCAAATAACAAAACAATAATGAAGATAAATTTGTGAAGGGTCCGCTTTTAAGAAAAGATATTTTGTAAAGAGTCCGTTAACCGACCCAAATTTATTCTTAAATGACCCCTGTTAAGTGTAAATAAAATTTAACTAGGTTTCACATTTTTTCAAAGCTTTATTGCTTATTATAGAATTACAAATATTTTTCCATTACCCAAATCTAGATTATACCAAACTGCTGCAAATTTTATTGTAAACAAGAAAGACACAAAATGAGAGGACCTTTACTGAAAAGTTACAGCACAACTGAACTAGCTTAAAATGAGTAAAAAAAAAGAAGAGGAGTCAATCTCAATAAACCACAACTGCCAAAAATAAAAGTTTCAGTTAACAAAAATGAACTAAAATTTTTTTTTATTATTCTCACATATAATAAAGGAAAAAATCTGTGAACTTTGTGTTTTTCTTTAGAATAGCATGCAATATAATTCTTTTTTACTTTATTTTGTAACTATTCACAAACAATGGAATAAAATAAATAATGAAAGAGCTTACTGTATTTTGGTTCCTCTTCTTTTTATTTTTCAATTGTGTCTCAGCTTTTCTTTTTTGACTTTTGCCACCCATTTCAGCAACAAAACAGGTTTATTCTCTAAAATTTAAAAGAAATAACCATAAGTTTATTTCTAACTATTACAACAATATCGTTTTCCAAAAAAAAAAATTCTAAAAGTAAATATTTAATGTTGAAAAGACAAAAAAAAATTTCATAATTAAATACAATTTAAAACATGTTTGCAATATTTATTTTAAATGTAAGTTCAATTTATTTGAATTGATAAGATAATAATCATACAGTATTAAGTAATATAGTTTTAACAGCTATTTAAAATAATTTCTTTAAATTTTTTGATTTGTTATACTTGTTCAATATTTTTATACATAAAAAATTTTAAAATTATAAGCATTATTGAAAATAACAACACTTTTGATTAATAACAGATAAAATATTGATATAAGAACATTAGAGAATTTTATAATTTCAAATAATATAAATACATAAAATGAGAGTTTCCTAGGCTTCTTAAACAAAATTTACACGGAAAACAGTGAAAATTCAGAATACTGTCATATTACAAATCCAGACTTAGGGGGGAAATTTATCTTATACTGAACCATACATTCAAAAGATAAAATACATTTTAATTACAGATAAGTCTAAAATATTATGTCTATCTCAATATATATAGTAGGCTAATAGGAAAATGTGACTCTTTGCAAACTGCTGGCATCATTTGAAAATGCTTATTACAGTGAACCTTGCAGACTGATTGCAAAGTGATATTGGTAGCTTTCAAAGAGCAAGATTTTTCAATTAGCCTACAACGCATACATAATAATAAAATAAAGATAGATGAGATGCAGAAATTAGAATTTTAGTAACGAAGCTAAAAATTATACGAATACACTGTACAATATTGAAATTTTAAATCAAAAAAATTTCATTAAAAGAAAAAAAAATGAAATAATAAAAAATTAATTATAATAAGTAATTAATGATTAAATGTTAACAATAAGTCATATTAATTGACTAATGTTTATTTAATGTTAAATTAATTAATAATAAATAGTTGTGCTAAAAACAGCTTTGCAATAGGGGAGATTTCCCTAGCGTGATCTGTGGAAGAATAATCGCCAAGTCTTGGCAACTTCCGGGCAGCGACCAGCAAGAAACTAAAAATAATAACACAGAAAGGGACCAACTCGAAAGGCATAACTCGCAGCTACACCCAGGCAAACATCTACATGTTTTCTTGTTTGTTTTTTTAAATTTGCAAGTTTAACAGCTATTTCGCACCTTGGCAATTGTAGTTGGTGTGACAGATCACGATACGGAAATATCCCCGCTTTGTCAAATTTACCAACAAAAAAAAAACTAATATATTTTTAATTAAAAGCAGTAACAATAATAAAATAAGAGAAGCAAAGAATAAAGTACAAAAATATATTTCTAATGGAATCTTGCCTGCTAATCGATAACTTTCCATATACCCTTATATCTCTTATGATAATTTCACCCATAATATAATAGCTAACAAGAAAAGAAAGGGTACTTACGTATTAACGCAACCAGGCCAAAATTCGCATAAATCGCCAAATTTGGTGTAAGTAGAAAAAATTTTAATCAATTTTTTTTTATATAACAAAGTATTTTGTAAACAAAATTATAAGCAAATATTTTAATAACCTTTTAGATTACATATTATTTCGACATCACATAGTGCATTATTTCTCATAACAAATACAGTTTTTTATATTATTTTGTTTAAACCACGTATTATTTTGTTAAAAACCACGTATAACACGTAGGGTTGCCGTAAGTGGGGTCGCCAAATTTGGCGATTTATGCGAATTTTGGCCTGGTTGCGTTAATACGTAAGTACCAAAGAAAGACTGAAAATTATAGACAACAAAACTGCGTGTATTTTCTCACTTTTGTATTTTATTTATTTTATATGCTTATTTAAATGCATTTAAAATACATAAGTAAATAGAGTTAAATGATATATAATAAAAATGCTTTTCTTTATCTGATTAATGTTCTACAAACACAACATGCTTATAGAAGAAAAGAAATTAAGTTTATGCTTTAGGCAAACTGATGATAAATTTACACTTATGAGTATGTAGAATTGAATGTTATACGCTGTTAGTGAACCGCATATTTAAACACTTAAAATGCACAGCAGTTCGAAAAACTCGGAAATTTCTAATAGTGCAGGAAAGATATTTTCGTTTCAAAAACTAATCAACCTAAATAAGAAATAGCCAAATAAAAAAATAAACATAAGGTATCGATACAAAAACATGTTGTAGATATTCTTTATTTAATAAAAATAGGGAATAACCTGAAAAAAACTTATTCAAAAGTAGTTTTCGTCAATAAAAACTCGTGTAATTGTTTATTTACCCATGTTATTTACACTTGATTTATAACACATTGCCAAATTTGAAATAGAAATATTAAGAAAGGTCATTTTCATAAATGAATGGTAAGGCTCTACTACTAGAAGAATTTTATCTTAGCACTAAAGGTTTAAAGTGTTGATTGAAATCCAAAAAGAAGTCTAGTTCGTTTAAAGAAACTTTAAATTCATAATGATCTTTTATTGTTTTTTGAGTTTATTTTCTCTTGAAGAGATACTGAAAAAGTTTATTCTCTTACATTCTAATGCGAACTAGAAAAATACCACGTTTCCGAGGGAATCAATCATATCGTCTGTCGGTTGCTTTATTTTATTAGTAAATAGCGTAAATCCCTCATTTCTTGTATGATTGTTTCAAACTATTAAAAATTACAATGCGTTATCTATATCTTTAAATTGTATGCTATTTTACTTGACACAATGACTTTGATTAATATTTTTCGCCCAAAATATATTTTCTGCTTAAAATCAGTAAATTTCTTTCCGCATAGAAATTATAGTAAAACATTATATAATTTTAGCCGTCAAATTTTTCACAATAAAGACATTAAACATCCTCCTTGCATCTTCCTTATAAGAGAATCTTTACCATTTAGTGTAGCATGCACAAGGTATATGGCTGGCCATTCCAAGTGGCAAAACATTAAACACATCAAAGCAGCGAAAGATCGCGAAAAAAGTATTACTTGTAGTAAATATGTTCGCCTTATACAGTTTGCTGTTCGAGGTGAGTTAAATTCCGAAATCTCCATTTTTTTCGAATCAGGCAGTTGTCTTAGTCATTAATATTGACTCGTTGTATAGAAAATAAAAAATTATGTATATCATTGTAACAAGTTTTTTCGCAGCCTCAATATAAACACATAACTTGCTGTTTTAATTTTTTTTAATGAAAAAATCTATTTAATATAATTTAGGAATGATTTTCATAATCCTGTAATTATGTTATTGAAGATTTGACAACAGTGGCTTCCCGAGCTAAAAAAAAACATGACTGAAGGCCACTGTCTGAAAGGGTATAACTCGCAACCTACCTGGCTTGTTATTTTTTAAATTTTTTTCAAATTAAAAAATCCATGGCTTATGTGATTGGCACAAACAAGTACTCATGCAGATCAGAAATATCCCCATAGTTTGTAATAAGGTTTGTTATCACATATTCCCCATTTCCAACATTTTATCTTTGAAATATTGAATAAGTTTTGCATGGGATATTTCTGTTTGCGGCAAATACCAAACGCCAAATAGATTTTAAATTCGCAGATTTTGAAAATTAAAACCGGTAGTACTGATTTGCCGAGGGGTAGCTACAACTTATACCTTTCTACTTGGTCTCATTCTGTGATTTTCTAAATCTACCTTGATGTTGATTTTTGAATCCCTGATTACATTGAATTTGAACATCAATAGGGTTTAATGTAGGCTAGCTTTTCAAATCTTAATTATGATTTGAACTCAAATGTTGTATGTAACATTTAATAACAAACATATGCATGTTGGAATGAATCTATGGAGATAGTTTAGATAACATGGGATTTAAAATCTTAAGTAACCTATTTGTCATAAGAAGAAAATTTTTTTTTATTAGTACTAAAATATAATATGAATATTTTTGTAATATTTTAATTAAAATGGAGGGAAACTTAAGGAAAGAGAATATTTCAAGAGTTGAAAATTCTTTACATAAGACTCAACTAACTGGGACTGAAAAAAGAAAAATGCAGTTTTTTGTAACTTTTTTGTAGTCATATCCATCAATATTTTTGAAATTCCATTCTCTCCTCCTAGATCAAATGTAGTTTTCTAGAAAATATATACCTCGCCAAATAAGTAAAGCATAAAATAAAAAAAAAATCTTTTGTTAAATATCTTGGCAGTTTCATCTGGAAGAGCTGTGCAAAAATGAATTTTTTTGAGGGCAATTTTCTGAAAATCATATTTTTTCTCATGCAGCTCTTCTGCAGAAAAAGTAAGAAAAACTTCTTCAAGAATGATCCTTTAGTTTTTGAAAAACTGTGTATAACAAAAAAGTACCTCTACAATAGGGTCTGTCTCAAAATATGAGTTTTCAATGGTTAAATTTTCAAAATTTTGTACTGAAAATTTTCTTGAATATTGATCAAATTTTATTCTTTTATATGCTTTGAGAAGAAAAGAATTCTATTTAGCAAGCAACAAATGTGTTTTTTCCCCCTTTTCAAAACCTATGTAATCCCTTAATAAATCATTTATTTAGCATATCTTTCAAATTACAGAAAGTGGTTCGGACCCTAAAACTAATAGCAAGCTGGCATCATTGCTAGAAGAAGCAAGGAAAAAGAATATTGCTAAAGAAACTTTGGAAAATGCTATGAAAAAAGGAAGTGTTAGTAAACATATAAATATTTATTTTAGCTGTATGACTTACATATTTTGTAACTATAAGAGATAAATTTTCTAATCTACTAGCATAAGTTTTCGAAATTTCTTCAATAGTTGGTAAAAACTTATTAATCAACTTTTTATTTGCAGTAGTTACAATATTATAAAAATTAATGAATTTTTGGGAAATATTCAATTTATTGTTGAAAATTAAATAAGTGTTGATTGGGTAGACAGTTATGTAAGTGCAAAAGCATTTAACTTTTGTAAAATAACCTTTTTTTCTACATATTTAACCCTTTTAATAATTAGGACATATTATGTATGCTATCGTGAAACCAAGGATATTATTTTTCTCGCATGAGCAGCAAGAAACTGAGTTATAAGTTATGCAGAAATAAGAAGTCGAAAGCAAGCTATTCATCAAATAAATAGCTATATTTTTGTTTAATTAATGCTAATTAATTTACAATGCATTTGCATGATTAAGTTATATTTTAGTTTCAGTGATACCTAATAATTAACACGATGAAGAAATAGATATTTTTTAAGAAAAAGCATTACAGAATCTATGAAGAAATAGGCATACTACTTACTATTTATGTTAAATAATATTGTTCCAAGACTTAAACAAAATTTTTGTTTAATTCCTAGAATATTACCCTCATGCTTACTTTTAGAATATTACCCTCACACTTTGTATCTATGGTTTGGTTTCTTTTTAATTTTCCACCTTTTTTTTAAAGTGATTTTTATGCATTTTGGCTTTTATTTATTCATTTTTTCATGTTTGCATTAAGTGTTACTTGAATAATTGTTCAATTGAAAGTCAAAGTCAGCTAATCCATAATAAATTTCTTTTCAAATATTTGAATTTTTCAAGTATTCTAATTTTCAAATATTTTCTAGGTATAGAACTTTTTCATGATATTTTCTAGTTTTTATCCAGAAGACCTGCAATTTCCAAAAAATTATTGTGAAAACTTAAAAATTTGTACAATTGGTCTTCATTGTACAGTTTAATGGCATACTATGAACCAAAAGAGACAGCTCTCATTCAAAAATTTTGGAATTCCAAACTAATAATTTATTCAATTAAAAAATTTAATAGTTTTTTTAAATTCAATTATAAACAATGGACCTATGTTAATATGATATTCAACTATAAGATTATTTTAATAACATTGAATTTATGATAATTTTTTTTCCAGAGTAAAAATTTGAAATTTGGAACTCTAGAAATTTTGGGACCAGGTGGATGCATGATTATTGTTGAATATGAAGCTGCTAATGAATCACTTGCCAGGCATGAAATGAAATATATATGCAAAAAATATAGGTATGTAAAACTGAAGTAAATTTCTTTAAAGCTTTTAGAAATTTTTTATTTATGACTCATATTAATTTTACATCTAGTGCGAATATTTTGAGTGGTGGAGGTCGTTGGCGGGCTGTTTATGAAAAGAAGGGAATTATAACTGCTGTCAAAGAACTAAATGGAGAAGTTTTAAATGAAGGTAAAGCCCTGGATTCAGCCATTGAAGCTGGTGCAGAAGAAGTGCAAATGAAAGAAAATGAGGAAGGACAAAATTTTCTTGAGGTATAATCAGGATATAAAACTCTTTAATTTAGTTCTTAAAATGCTGTCTGGATTCTCTTCCTAAAGTTTGACAAAATGTTCAATTTTATTTAAATTATTCATTCATATCTCTAGGTTTAATTTTAATTTATATGTCACAATTATACTTGATACTAATTTATATTTGGATTTTACTTTAATAACTAAATTTAAAAGAAAAAAAAATAAAATTTCTTAGCATTTTTCATCGAATTCAGTAAAATTGAAAAAGACCTGCTGTTAATTTTTTAAAAAAATAAAAGAAGAAAGAACAATGCAAAACTTGCAATTTACCAAGATATGTGCAATGTTTCCCAATGCATTGTTGACATTGATGTCAATACGCGCTATGGACCCCTTTCCCGACCATGCAATTACTGCAAGCTAGTGCAAACAGCTTTTTTATTATTGATAGTAATGAACTAAATTTAAGATGAGGGGTGACTGGGAAGTTACAGAATTTAAGATGGGGGACGGGGTGACTGAGAAGTTGCGCACATTTTAGCGTCAGCTGTTCCTACGTTTTCAATCTTTCTCAATTCATCAGCAAAATTTTTATTTTTGAAGATTTTTATAATTGATTTCAATGTGCATTTTAATTTCAATTTTTATATTCATAATTACTTATTTAATGACATAAACAGGGGCGGACTAATTTTTGCCCAAGCTTCTCCCTCCTGCACAAGTTATTCTGTTTTTTTATTATCATTTTCAATGTATCATGTCACTGTTGTGATTTATTGATTTTTCCTTTAAAAAAATTTATTGTTGATAACTGGACAAGTTATTACATTTTTGTAAGGTAACTGAGGATTGAGTTTATTACAAGAAGATAACTGTCTAAACTAATCAATCAAAAAGTGAAAGAATTCAAAATTATACAATACCAAATGTAAAATATTAGCGTAATGAAACATCGCGACGTGAAGAGTGACGATACATCTCCCAGAACTAGTGTATACATGAGTAGTTCAAAGAAGGTACAAAATTTTAATGTGTATTTCCAAAATATAGAAGATTTGAGGCTTGTAAATTCAAAAAGTCTCTTCAAATTACAGATAAGTTGGCAGCTATATCAGACTGACCTCGTTCCCCCTTGACATTATGAAATTCTTCCCTGTTTGTGACCCACTGTACTAGATAGCTGGATGATGTTGAAAGCAGGGTTGGCTTTTTTCCGGCAGAAACTGGTTTTTGCCATGCCAGTGGCAGAAACTGGTTATAACCGGCAAAAACTGGCAGAAACTAAAAAAATGTCTATATTAATTCTGGTAATTGCTTAATGACATTTAGTTCAAGTTAACTGAAAAATGTAACTGTAACAACTTTTTAATTCATTGTTTGTAAATATAGTCAAACCTCGATATCTCGAACTTGAAGGGAGAGGAGAAAAAATTCGACGTATCGAAAATCGTATGTTATCGATGTTAGAATAAAGTAAAATGCTCTTTACATACCTTATTTACTATTCCATATTTATTCTAAAATACTTTTTACACTTAAAAAGATTCAATTGTTTGCTTTAGAGATGTGTAAGAAAGTTTGTCTATAACACTTTATAAGTGGACTATAGCTTTAAATGTCTCCTCTGATATATTCGGCTGTCTCTCAATAAATCTCCTGCTGCAGAAAGTGCTTGTTGTGATTATGAGAATTAGTTTTGTATTTTTAAAAATTGTTTTGGAATATTTTTTTATTTTCAGAAAAAATCTAAACTATTTATGGAAAAAAAATTCAAGTTATCTAGAGATTAGAAAGAAAAAAATCGAGAAATCAAGGCTTTTCTAACATTGAGTGTATAGGAAATTCGAAGGGAATTTTTTTTTCTTCGAGATATCGAAAAATTCGTGAAATCGAGGTTCGAGTTAGCGAGGTTCGACTGTATATATTATTTTGTTTGGATTAAATATAAAGAGTGCAGTGCAGTATATCAAATATTTATATTAAATAAAGAATAAAGTAATGTAATAATAAATATAAATACTAGATTTTAGTTTATTACATTAAACTCTGAAATTCAGTAATTATTATCTTTTAGCTCTTAATATTACTGAATAGAGCTACTTTCAAATAGTTTTTTTTCTTTTCAAGACATAATTTGTATGGCAATAATCCAATTATTATAACAGTAACAGTTTTAATCTTTGCTGTATGTAAGAGGTAATATAATTGGTTAGATTCACTGATTCATAAATGTAAATAGCAAGTTCACTTGTCACTTTGTTTAACATTTAAATGTTTTTTCTTTGAATTATCCATTGTATGTCTCAGTACTTAACTTTTATGTCATTTTCTGAATTTCTGCCAGTTTCTGCCGCAAATGTGGCAAAAAAGGGTTTCTACCAGTGGTTTTAACCACCTCTGCAGAAACTTGCCAACCTTGGTTGAAAGAGATCTTCAGTAAACAGAATTATAGTAAGAGGATCAAGTGAAAAATACTTGGAGAGACGGCCTTACCCTTCAACAGATTGTAGCACTCTAGAAGAATATTATTTTACATTTTACCACTTGTCACATTGACAAAATTTCATTCCTCTACTATTAGTCATAAACATTTCTCGCCTTATGGGGTTTGCCTTCGCTTAGTAAAACACTAGTCCTACAAACTTGTGATATTCTAGTTATTTTTCCTTATTATAAGTCAAGCATAGTTAATAATGCAGTTTCATCAACTTACTTTGACTTAAGGTTATATGCATTTGATATAGTGCAGACACCTCTGTTCATCTAATTCATTGGTAGTTGCTCCTGAATTTAATATGCTCTATTAAATAATTATATTGTGATATAAGTATAAATTTTAACAAACCTATATTTTTAAATATCACTTAATACCATTTGTTTTGTAACAAATTTTTATTATCATAAACATATAAAATGGATGGTATATTAGTGCTTTTAAGATGCTTATTATTATTTAAACTATTTTCTGCAGATTATTAACTGTATAGTTATTGATTTAAATTTTTTTTAATTAGTTTGTATGCTCTCCTGATGATATTAATCAAGTAAAAAAGGAATTGGAAAAGCTATATGAAGTTCAAGAAAACTATATAGCCTATATTCCCATTACTAGTGTACAGATAAATGATGAAGATATGAACTTAGTAGATGGGTTTCTAGAAGAAATGGGAAATTTATCAGATGTTATTAGAATATATGAAAATGTACAGTAAAATTACATTAAATAAGGTTTTTATTGGTTTGAAAAATATTGATTTGTATCAATAAACATTGTTTTGTTGATTTCTTTTTGTTTGCTATGTTTATCATCATAGGTTAGATTCAAAACTATACCACTGCTAAAAGGCTTCAAAAATCAATTAATTTAAGAAAATTTGCTTAACCAACTCTCGATGAATTATGTCTGTTAATAACAAAATTTATATAAGTTTTGAAAAATATTCTTATTGATTGTAGTAAATTATTTTTATTGCATTCTCCCTTTTTTTTTCTCTCTCTTTCAAAACTTTTAAAATAATTTAGTAAAAGGAAACAAAATTACAAAATAAAAATAGCAATTTATTCTTATACTTGATCAGAAACAATAATAGACAAATTCAATCATATAAATTTTTATAAACAGAATACATTTTACTAATACAAAATTTAAAAACACATTTAGGAATTATTAACAATACATTTAAAGAAATATTCTAAATATACTAGTTTATTTTTTGTTTACAGTTTCAACCCATAATATAAAGGAAAAACAAATTAGGACTCGTTAAATTTTTTTCTCGTGGTTAATAAAAAAAATTTCATCTATATTTAGTTTTTAAAATTGTACTAATAAAAGTTACTTGTAAATAAAATAAAAAAATTTCTGAAGAATTTATTTTAGTAAAATTTGAGTGATTCATTCATAAAATTCATTATTTGTAGTAATTTTTTATCTATATTCTTACAATTTAAATAAATTATTTTCATAATACCAAAACAAAGTGATTTACAGTTGAACTTATTCTTCTAACTTATCGTCTCAATAAAATTCAGAATCAATTTTTGTTACTAATCAAACCAGTATTAAAAAGAATCATTCTGCTTGTTTTCATTAAATCAAACAATGCAACGGACTGTTTTTTTTTTAATTCAGCAACATTAATTCCATTAAAATTTTCTAGAACTATCAGAAGTTATTCCAGACTTTTTATGAAAAATAACGTTTTTGTAAAGTTGTGAAAATTTTTACTCAATTTTACGAATTCCTAATAATAAAGTACTGTTTTTGCGAAAAATCTACTTATAATCTTCTGAATATATAATTATGAAATTGAGTTCTTGTATATTTGAATATTGGAAAATATCATGCTTTAGTATAAAAAATACAAGAAACATGTCTTTCAAGCAATTGCAATGTTGAAATTGTAAATTAATGACACCGTTTTTAAAAGGGGGAAATTTGTGAAGGGTCCACGGACCCAAATTTCACCTAAAATGAACCCTGACTATTCTAGTAGGAATTTCATTAGAATTAATTCCAACTCATCCCATTGTTAAAATTTGATCTCTCACTCAGAAATTTACCCACAATTTTGGTTACTTAGAAGTCTGATCCTGGAGAAACAAATTTTTATAGTTTCCTTACTATCCAATTAATTTTAACTAATAAAATTTTATAAATAGGTAAAATTAAGCCATTTACAAAAGCAATACCATGCAATAATTAAAATTATTCCAAATAGTGTGCGAATAAGGTACCACGTGTATACTATGTTTAAGAGTTTCTAATTTATTATGCTTGCTATCCAACTTGTTAATCCTCCTTAAAATACGGCAAATTTAAGTTTATTTCTTTTTAAACTATCTTAGTTAAATACAGTTCAGTGCTATAATATCTGTTTTCTAATCAATGCATATTTATACTAGTTCAATATTTGGATGATTCAGAGTTATTTACCTTACATTGTGATCTTGAATCACAAGTTTTCAAGAATTATTAACCAATTGATGTCTGGATCAAATTTTCTTTAATATCACTGAATCAATTATTTATTTTTCTTGAATCACAAGTTTTCAAGAATTACTAACCAATTGATGTCTGGATCTAATTTTCTTTAATATCACTGAATCAATTATTTATTTTTTTTTATAAAAAAAATCAGTTCTAAGCAAATATATGTATTTTGACTAAATAATAATTGATATGTGAAATTTCTGAAAAAAGAGCAAAGTGGAAAAACAAATTAAAATATTTTCGATAGTTAGTTTTCCTAAGGATTTGGGTAAAATTGAATAGACGTATGATGTGTTATAAATCAATATTTTTACATTACAATGCATTTAAGTTAGAGTGACAAAAAGTTGTTTCCAACAGTGATAGTGAAATATTTCTGAAAATGTTTCATTTTAAATGCATTTTTCATTTCCGATAAAAACAAGTTTACATTGCGTACAATAACTAATCTAAGCTAAGCACTAATAGTTTTTAAAAAAAAATTATTATTGACAATTTAAGTGAGACCTGCTCACCAACTAGAAATATTGTGCAAAATCACAGAAAACACATATATAAATAATAAACATTTCTTTTAATTCTTATAAAGTATATTTTGATAGGACATGATTGCCAACTCACAGTCAATATATAATAATAAAATGTTTAGTTTAAATGTTCTCTATTTTTAGCATATAAACACAAGATCATCAATAAAAAGTTTCCTCATAATTTTGTTGAAACAAAGAAAAACCATAATTAGACTTACAATGACATGTTAAACAGTGTTAAACGGAAATTTTGTCCTAATTTTTCTAACATTTTCCCCTTACTATCTAAGGAATGTACTTGGGGAAAAAAATGTCCCCTTAACCCTGATACACTACTTTTAAACTATAAATACAAGATTACCAATACAAAACTATTCATAATTTTGTTGGAATGTAGAAATAACGAGTAAATATAATTTGCATTAGGATTAGAAAAATTGGGATAAAATTTCATTTGCAGTAAAATTTATCTTCATTTTTCTAATCCTAGTCTAACTTGATTTTTTCCCATTGTTGCTAAGCAATAAACTTATCTCATGAGAAATGTTTCCCAGGCGTAAAAAGGGTTATAATTTCTAAATTCTAACCCACAGATGAATCGTAGAGATTGATATGAGAATGTCTCTTTCTGCTTTGCTTTGTAGAATAGCACTTTTCTCGAAATTGCATCATTGAATTTGACTTTCAGGCAGACTGGTATATATAACAGTTAATATAGAGTTTTATAAATAAACATTTGTTACAAAATTTGGTGAGTTTGAAACAAATGTAGCCAAAACCAGTGGTGACAAAAGGGTTAAAATTAAATTCAAGATTAATATTGTGATATTTAAGAATTATATATAATTGCTTGCAGAAAGTTTTTTTAACGGAGATTTTGTGCTTGCAGAAAGATTTTCATTTTATCTAAGTCTGTTGATGAGTTCATAATCTGACTCACTTATGATGAAATTTCATCCTAATTTTTCACATTTAAATTTTCTTTGACTTTCTTCATGGTTGCTAAGCAACCATGACTTGTCTCAGAAGAAATGTTTTCAAAACACTACCGAATGTTCTTATGTAAATTTTACTTAAGTTTCTCAAGAACTATCACAATTTTAAACACAGAATTATACAAAAACAATACTAAAGAGTGTAAATAATTGCTTGTTGCTTCTGATGGCAACTAGTTCTGCATAAAACTTATTAAATTTAAATTCAGATATTTTTATTAATTTGGGCATAAAATGACCATATATCACATCTGTTATTTGATACAAGTAATAGGCTTTCATCTAAAATAAAATAATATTAAAAAAATATGTTTCACAAACATTTAGGTTAAAATATGTTAATATATTAAGGACACTTTATTTCATACATCGAAGGAAAATGTCTACTGACAAATACATAAATAACACCATTACGATATTACTTTTTTAATAATTGAATTTAGAAACACTGGCATTTTTTTAAGTTTTGCACCAGAGGTTCATAGTTTGATATGAAATGAGTTACTAGTTAGTATAATATTAATGTAAACTTAGATTTGAAATAGATTTTTCAGATGTAAATATACTTGCAATTTATAATAATAAACATATTTTCATTCTAACATTTGTCAATGTTTTCTTTAAATTCGGAAATAATTTGCTTGACACAAAATGTATTTATAACAAAAGTATAAACGAATTCAAAACAAATTATAAAAGAAATTTAACTGAATAAATTCTTTACTCCTGAATTCTGCTATAAATAAAGAATAAGTGCTAAACTATAACAACAACAAAAATGCAAAAAGTTAAAATTGAGGAAAGTATAAATACTGCTTATGCTTAAAACAAACATTGCATCTCAAACAATATAACCATTACACAAGAAAATTAAAAACAAAAAGAAAACTAATAAATATACAGAAAACATTATCAAAATAAGATTCTTTTATCACTATTTTCCGGGGGAACAGCGTTTTTGAACAAGATTACAGGTTCTCAAACTGTCCTCTGAGTAGCACTTGAATTCTCCAAAAAAAAAGTAAAAGATGTTAAAAATTAAAATACATATACTTTTTTTTACAGCTCAAGTGAAAGATGCAATTTATAAAAAGATAGTCTGCATTCAACGTGCTAGTTTCTCATTCAAGTTTACCAGTCATTGAAAAAGATACAACACTAAGATCAAAATTTTAAACCAATGAGAAATCAATTTAAAATATCCTGTGTAAGCTAAAGGAAAATTTAAAATCTTATCAGATAAAGCAAAAGTGATTCTTTTTCATTTCCTAAACACTTATTAGTGAGAAACAAAACTGTCAGCATACCTCAATGCTAAAACAAAATACAGATTTCTACTCAATAGATAGAAGAGCAAGATAATCAGTTGCAACTCTCTAAAATTCAGCCGAATAAAAACACTTTCCATTAATTTTCTGTTTTATGAAACTAAGTAAAAATTCGACATATATTTAAGAAAAAGAAATTTTAAAATAACACATTATCAAACTGCAATATACGTCTTGAATACATTTCTGTATATTTTATTACTCAAATTTTAAAAAAAAGAGTAGAAGAAAAATTTAATTTAATTTCATGCAAGATTAAATGATTAAACTATCTTGTATCATAAATGGTATAATGTCATTAAATGTAATGGATAAAATTATCAAGATAACAGTTTAGTGCTCTGTATTGAATTTCCTATATCAAAGGAACTGCATGATAAAAGAAAATTGAGAACCACTGTTACAGGTTACTTAAATTCAATAAAACCTTCAAGAAACCCAAGCAATTTAAACTTCAGAAATGCCACTTTATTCTATTCAAACAAAAAAAATGAGAAAAAAAGATAACATGGGAACGGCACAACTTAAGAAATTCACTGCAGGGTGTTCAACTTCTTATAATAAAAAACATAACCAATTAATGTTTATTCTGGGCCAATGGCCGAGATTGCAACCCTCTTAACTACTGCAGGTCACCACCTTATTTCATTTTTTTTAATTAAATCTCCAATTAATAATCAATAATGATTTCAATTTAAACAATTTATCTTGATTTATTGTTTTTTTAATTATCAGATAATAGCTAAGCAATTAGAATATTAATTCCAACTTTAAAATAGATGCTAGAGAACTATATAATAATTAAATGTATAATAAAAACACATATAGTGCTAATAATAAGGGAATGGAATATAAGAGATTAAGTGGAATATTTTAAAACTTCTATTTGTTAATGATAAGAGTCATTGGGAATTTTGTATTTTTTATTATTATGCCCATTATTTTTTGTTAGAAAAAAATTACCTCCACTGTAATTTTAACATCAAGTAACATCTAAAAAAACTTTATTAAATAAAATAATTTAAATTAATAATGTTTGTAAAATTATATAAAAAAATGATAAACTTATTTTTAAAAAATGTGATTGTCAGTAAGAAACCTAAGGTAAGCAAGTACATTACCATCTAGGTTGCTGCGCCAATGACAAACAACTTTATGAAATTATAGTGAATTTCAATATGAAATTTTTGAAGGCTGTTTAGTCAGAATCAGTTCGCCAGTGTGCCACATTATTCTAGGGGTTAACACTCTTAAGGTATATTTTTAATACACCAAGTTTCATTCATAAGTCGTACCCTCCTCTTTTTTAGTAAAAAAAAACTACATGACTACAGATTTAAAAACAATCAAATTTACAGATTCATTAGTAAACAACTTCCTAAAAGTTATTTTGTAAACAACTTCCAAATGTTTTTAAAATCCAATAGCTAAAATCCAATCCAAAAACTCAACTAAATAAACACTTCCACATACCTTTTTAATATTTAGAGTTAACAGACTAAATACAGTTAAATGCTGGGGGGGGAAATAATAAAAAATACCATAATAACATGCAAATTTTATCTTTCAAGCTTGAGATTGCATTATTATATAATTATAATACTCTATTGTACTTATTAATTCCAATCTTCAAATTAATAACAAATTGATGCAACAATAAATATTAGCTTATTCAAAATATTAATGAATGCAACATAATACTATTAATAAATAAATAAGTTTTCAAATAAAAGTACATCATAATGATAAATTGCAATTGTAAATTTTATGTACGTGTTGTAAATGTTTTCTTTACTGTAATAACAGATAATAAAGACAGAAAAACAAAACTGACACTAGAATTCTTAAACACTATAACAAATTACAAGACATTGCTAAACAGATAATTTATATTATCTCTAAACAGATGGTGATAAAAGTAGATTATTTTGTGAACATACAGAGAGTATTATTCTTTCAAAACTCAAAATAATCTCCATATAAAAAAAAAAAAAGAAATCAGAGAAATCGATTTTTCTAAGACTTAATTCAGCTTATTCATTGAGTTTTACAATTACTTTAAATAGAAGTTAAGATATGAATTACATTTGTGGTATCCCTGAAATTTTATTTACAATAGAAAAATGAAAGTTATCGTTTTAAGAAACAGATAAAATAAATAAATAAAACACTGGATAGATTAAAAATTAATTCGTGGCATCATCCGTGAAAATCTATCAATTAATTCACAGAACAAACAAAAAAATTCATCATCGCACTGATTACAAAAGACATTAAAAAAATTTAAAAAACTGAAGCAACATATAAAATAGTTTAAAAAAATAATTTTAATACCACCACAAAAAAAGGACATAAATAAAATAAAATTGCACGCTCAGAAACTTTTTTTTTTTGACATCACATTAAAAAAAGGCACAAGCATTACGCTTCCATGACATATATTTGTAGTTTTTATATCCCGACCCAAAAAATAGATATTTTATAAAATCAACAGTAACATTCATCACAAATATGGTACAACTGATACTTTATGTATTGGACTATACTCTATTTGAATATGTGGCTCTTTAAGATAATTCTCAAACCACCAAATTTGGTAATGTCCACCATTGCACATTCGAGCTACCACATCTTCACTGGACTTCTTGCGGCTAACATCAATGCATCTCCCAGTTTTTACATGAACGATAGGACCACCCTGTGAAATAAAATAAATAATAGATTATAAAAAAACTGAATGAATGAAATTTTTCATATTTAAAAAATAAATATTCTTAATCATTTTCAAAATTATTTAAAAAAATAATTATTAGTATAAACTCGCTACAGCAAATGAAGAAACTAGTTAAAATATTATAACACTAAGTTAAATGAGATCTCAACAACACAATCTAGTTAGTCTTTTGAAGAACAAACTAAGTTTTAATACCATTCTTCATAACAAAACTCAAAAAATATAAATGGAAAAAAAAATTGCTGACTTTATTTTTTAATGAAAGTTACAGTGATTCTATCTTGATTAATCTTACACTATTCAACTTAAGACCATACCAGATTTTTCTTGTATTTTGGTTAATAAAAAGGTTTAATTTATAATAATAAAAAAAACACTATATCTATTATCAATAATATATTTTTTTATATCATGATACATTTTAAGTAATTCAAATTTAATGAGAGAGGAAAAAAGATTGCAATGAAGTTGTTTATCCACAAAGACAAACTAATTTTGATCAATGTATAATAAAATCAGAAAAAAAAGTGATTTTGCTGAAAATCAAAGCATGGCATTAGTACAGATTATTTGTTTTAGTACAAGATCCTCACTGCGACTCTTCTGTTATAATGAACAAAATATAAACTCCCGTTTGCTATTCCATAGTCATAATATCATTTAAAAATCTATCAGAATAGATTGTCCAAATTAAACCTTTCATTCAATTATGGTGCCAAATTTTTTAAAAAAATTTTTAATCAAGAAAAACAAATCCCTCCAAAAGCAGGTGTTAAACATTTTTGCACTTTCCAAACAAATATTTTACCATTGAAAACAAATCAATGAATAGCAAAAGTCTCCAGGAAAAAATTAAAGCCACAATTTCTTTTGACGTTACCACTCAATAAAAATGAAATAGCTTAAATTCTTTGTTAATGGATGGAGGTAGATAAATATGGCCACTTATTCTTATCTTTGGTGGTCCTAGGCACATTCTATGATAAAAAAAAATAGTAAAATATAGATTACTTTTCATTACAGAGAATTTGCTGTGCATATTGCTTCCCCGGTGGAAATCTGAGTCTCCTGTATAACATTAGTAATTTATTTTTTTTACAAAAGGTTCAATAAATTCATCATAATTTTTTTGTTGGAAGACTGTACTCACTCTTTTTATATTCCGTAATAAGCAGTTTATTTTAAAGCTAAAACACAAGGAAGTTATGACATTCTTCATGATCTTATTTTTGTTTAGCCTTTCTTCGTTCATATGCTATACTTATTTTGTTCAGCCATCCTCTGGACCATTTACTTAAAAATAAAAAAATCTTGAAAGAATAACAGTGATTTTGACAAAATAAGCCCAGAATTTATTAGTTTTGAGTAAATGTTCACTATTGTTTTGTGTACTCATGCTACAGTGACCTCATGTTACAATGCCCATTTTTGTTTGGTCCACAATTGTTACATTGAGCTCCTGTATTAGCTTTATTCATAACAAAGTACTGTGGTAGATTTTAGGAATCGAATTACCAGAAAAGTTATAATAATATCATACTTTTTTTAATGCTAAAACTCTCTGATAGTTTGTATACATAAATTGAATCGGCAAAAAAAATTCGATAAATTCATTTGCACCCTTACATTATGTCATTAATAAATATATCCATGAAATTATTATTTTACTTACTATTTTATGGGCCCATTTTTGATTTCCTGCCTTTCCATGGCATTTTGTCATAATCACCGGAAGTTCTTCACTATCTTCATCTATATCATCATTTAACTCAGCACAATTTTCTTCAATCCGTAGTTCCCCATCCTTTGTTAAAGATAATAACTACAAAAATGAAAACATATATAAAGCCAATTTTACAAAAACAATATATTATGCCCAAACTATACTAGATATATCAAAATTTAAAGATAAAATGAATTAAGATCAGAAAAAATAAAACTCATTTTTAAAATACTTTATGTCTGTTATGTCTTTATAATATTTCTATGAAATAAAATGAAATTTATTTCAATTCAAAACAAGTCTAATAAAATTAAATAAAAATGAAATTTATTTCTATTCGAAACAATAGTCTAATAAAATAACCTCATATTATTTATTGCCAAACTATTTAATCTTAAAATTCACTATCAGTGTAGAACCAGAGATTATCACAATTTTGGAATCATCTAAAGAGATTAATATACACTGATCAGTCATTAAAATATCTTGATGAGCCAACCATTGTTTAACCATCAAAAAAAAAAGTATCATTACCAAGTGTTTTACCATTAAAGGAATTATTAATTAAGTTATAAAGAAAGACTCTTAATCACTAACTAATCACACAAAAAAAGAGAGAGCATTTCATTCATTTGTTACTATCTGGGTAGTAACTATCTTTGAAATTGGTGGCAGAAAAATCATTTTTATACCAATTGGTGGTAAAGGAATTTCTTTCTTTTTTTTCAACTTCTAGCAACGATATTCTTTTTTATGGCAATTGATGGCAACAGAACTATTTTATGACAATTATCAGCAGAAAAAGGCTTTTGTTATGGAAATTTGTGGTAAAGGAATTCTTTTAATGGCAATTGATGCAACGGTATTTTTTTTTCTTTCCATTTTCAAATTTTTATTCGTCAGACGATACTTTATAAATTAAATTATATATCAGATTAGTACAGGAGAAAGAATATAAGAGAAACAAAATAAAAAGGCACAATTTGTTTTCCGTTAAAAGAGGGTTATAGATAATTGTGAAATTATTAAATTTGCATTTCGTTATTATACTTGTATTTACATTCAAGACAAATCTGATGAGAAGTAATCATGCACAGAAAAAATATTAAACTGAAACAACTCTAGTTGAATAAAATTTTAAGACAATTTAATTAAAAATGTTTACTTAATAATAATAATAATAAAGAAATGAAAAAAAGATGATTATCTTACTTGATTTGTGATTAAATTCATTTGCTCTGGTAGCTGACTACCTAAACACTCATAATAACCAAGAGCCTCAGACTTATCTTCATCACGATTTAAAGTATCAAGGCATAGTTTAGACAGAGGATTTTTTACCTATAAAACAAGTTAAAAGAAAATAATCTAAAACAACAATATTTAAGTAAACAAATAAATTTTTATTATTAAGAAAGATAATAAAAATAAATAAATAAAAGTTTTTTTATTTTAAGTTTGTAACTTATGGTACGATTCTAAATCCAGAATTATAGTTTAAAAGCTATTAACACTATAACCAGTCATGTATAAATAAATATTATTGATGTATATTCTTTTCAAGTTTTAAAATCAGCAAATCAAATGTTATTGAAACAATAGCAGAGAGTAATCCTCTCTCTCTCTCTGAAATTAAGGATTTGTACATTTCTACTGTTAATTAATTTAAAATCTCTGTCTCTTAACTGAATTAATAATTACTTTAATTTTTTATTGTTCAATTTAGCTTGGCATTATTTTAATTACCATTTTGAAGGTTAATAATTTTCCTAAACATTAAAACAGTTGTCCTGTTGACATCTACAAAAGCAAATACTTTTAGTTAAAATACACAGGAGATAAATCAAATTTTTTAACTCAATTTATCTCATTTATCAATTTAATCAACTCATTTTCATCAAATTAAACTCAATCTTTACTTAAAAAACATATGCAAATTATATGTTTACTCAAATAAAAATATTAACATATTCTTCTTAGATGAGATAATTAAATTGCAAATGAAAAAAAATTTTTTGTTACAGAACATATTCTACAGGTTTGAAATGGCTGTATGAAATATAGTTTTAAACTAGTTTTAAAAAAAGATAAAATTGGAAATGAAAACAAATTAATTGATATGTACACATTATCCAAAAGAGATTTAGTTCCTTAAAAAGTAATTTGTAAAAAAAAATTTTTTTTAAATAATATAGTATATGCATTCATTATAAATATGTAATAAAAAGTTTAAAAAAAGTAATTTATATTAAGATTCTACATAAAATTATACTTACAGATCCATATGCTAACACATTCTTGTCAAATATAAACTTTTCTGGATAAATTTCAGTTAAATACCAATCAAATGACTTACACTGCAACCTTTTTTTCAATTCCATTCTATGAGATATGTCACCATAGTCAATCTCCTATGATAATACACATTACTTAATTTAGATTAACAGGAAAATATTAAAGTTAAAACAACACAATACAATAAAATAATTATTTGTTGAAAAAATTATTAATACTAGTCACATAATGCAGACTTATCCATTAAAATATAACAATTATTTTATCTTAAATAAAAAATACATAGTAGTCTCACAATAAAGTAGGCTTATTAGGGTCAAAAAAGAGCGGCATATTTAAATATGTGATATAGTGGTTCTTTATTTGCGTTGTACTACAGCTGCCAGGAGTCTGTTTAGAAAAAACTTGGGTCCGTTAATAGACCCTTCACAAAATATCTTCTCATAAAAATGGACCTTTCACAAAATATTTTAACTTAAAAACGGACCCTTCACAAAATAATTCATCTTTTAATTGGACCTTTCACAAATTTGTTTATCTTCATTATTGTTTTGTTAATTGAATAAACCCTTCCCTGGAAGGAGGGGGGAAGAAAGACAGATGTAAACGAGCTGAATTTTGTCTTCGGCAGACGCTTCTTCCTTTATTTGTCCGAAATGAATATTCTGCGTTCAGCAGTATAGGCTAAATACCAAATATTTATAAGTTGCATCGCCAATTTAGTAGCTGCAATTGCTGTTTATTTTTCAAAATTTAATTTTCTTAATTGTATATATACAGTGTTGAGCATAATCTTGTATGTCTCCACAATTTAAAAACTCCTTAAAAAAGTTTTTTTTCAATAACGGACCCTATTTGCACAAATTCACAAACGCGGACTCTGGTTGAAAGAATATGACTTAACATTTATTTTATATTCACAAATTACGAGTAATTTTTTCACAATTTAACAAAAACAGACCTTCCACAAAATGTCTGGACAGACCAATGGCTGCACAATGGGCTATTGGTGATGGTCTGAGAAACATCCCTGATTTGCCATCCAAATTTTGTGTGACAAAATTGTGATGCCATTACAATTTTGATCCTCTGAAAAGATGAGAAGATGGCTCTTTGTTTTTGGTGGTCCGACAACCAGTGCATGAAGTTGAGCACTTTACTGCAGAACAGTTTCATGAGGACCAATAAAATGCACAAACAGTCACTTTGTAGGCCGATTAAAGTTGTCACCCACCAGCTTGCTGACCACTACCAGCTATGCTTGGTTTCAGTGATCTACTGAGACGAGCAGTCTACTGTGGGCCGAATGTGTGACATAACAGAAGTCAGTGTTTCCTAAAGTGTGGTTCGCGTACCCCCAGGAGGTTGGGGAACAGTTTAGCGGGGGAACGCATTCTTATGCAAAATAGCTTGCAACAAACGAAAATTTCAAAAATTTTTATTTAAAAACAATGCGAGAAATGACAATTTACGCTCACGTATTTTTCCAGTGGCTATTTTTTGCAGAGTTAACAATTAATAATTAGTGGTGTCAACAGCAAGTTGTGATTTTTAACTTTTGTGCAATTTTTTATAGTAAAAAATACATTTAAAATAGTGCATTAAAACAAGTAAATTCGACGACACTTTGCAATGTTAACAAACGGCCCAATATTCATTTTTTTATTAGTGGTACACAGCGTTACGAAAAATTTAGAAAGGGTACACAAAAGTCATAAGTTTGGGAAACACTGACATAAGTTAATATAATAGCAAAAATTATACAGTCGGATCCCGTTTTAGCGAATTCCATCGGACCGAAGGTATTTCTAAGCAATAATGAAAATTCGTTATACCTATATTACGAATTTTCAACATTAACAAATATTATTTCGTTACATTGGGATTACTATTCGTATAAAAAATCAATTTACAGTTTTGATATTATATTTTTAATCTAGATTTGGGAAAATATCAATGTAATATTAAAAGAGCGCACAAAACTAATGTAAACAATGAATTTATTAACACTTACTAATTAGGCAGATACATAATCAGTAATTTTTTTCTGAACAAATGATTTAGAACCAGTAGAAGTTAAAAATTTTTCCAAATTATGCACATGTTCAAACAAAGTACATCTGAAAAGTTTTTTTGTGCCGATAAATATCTCTTTACAGCTTCCAAATTGGCCAAGGCTTGTGAAGCTGTAGGTACAATGTTTTCTTCTGGACATTCTTCATCATCGCTGCTGTCCGAAAGTGATTTTTGTTTGTTTTCTTGAATCATACGTACAATATCATTGTCTGTCAGTGCTTCGCATGTTCTAGCATCATCATCTGCAGTCAGAAAATCGTCAAGACTGACTTCGTTTGGCACTGATGTTTCTTTTGTCACATGTTCCCATAAAGGCTGCAAATCGATGATAACATCATTAATTTCATCGACTGTTTCATTGTCAATTGCCGAAATTAAATTTGCTTTCTTCCATCCATTACAGATGACTTTTTGGCTAATGTCTTTCCATGCTCCAGCAATCATATCCATTGCTTGCTTTACATCTGGTTTCGTAGTTGCTTCTTTGTTTCCGATTTGCACAAGCATACGCCTCAAAAGTTGTGTTCGATACTTTACCACTTTAATTATACACTGGTCAAGAGGTTGTAAAATTGACGAACAATTAGGAGGAAAGTATTCGATGTGAATACATTCCAATTTCGGTGGCTCATTCTGGGGTGAACAATTATCAATAAGAAGCAGAATTTTTCTTTTCTTACGTTTCATATCTTCATCAAACTTAACCAACCACTCATTAAATATTCCAGTCGTCATCCACACTCTGTGGCTAGATCTATAATCACAAGGTAGTGAATTTACATTTTTTAAGCACCTAGGTTTGGCAGATTTGCCGATAACCATAACTTTTCTCTTTTCAGTGCCTGACATATTGCAGCAAAACAAAGCAGTTAAACGCAGTTTTGAAATTTGCCTCCAATGCATTTATCCTTTTTAAACGCCAAGGTTTTGTTTGGTAACAACTGGAAAAAAATTCCCGCTTCGTCTGCGTTGAAAACATCAGAAGGATCATAAGACCTAATTGCATCCGATATTTTTTCTGATTTCCAGTCATTCACAGCTTTTAAATCAACAGAGTTAGCTTCACCACAAATTTGCCTTGCAACAATACCACAACGTTCCTTGAATCGATTCAACCAACCAACACTAGCTTGAAAATTTTCGTTTCCAAAAGTTCTTGCAAATTCTAAAGCCTTTTCACAAATGAGGGGCCCGGAAATTGGAATGTTTCGGGAGCGAATATCCTGGAACCATGTAAAAACAGCTGCATCTACATCTTGAAAATTTGAAAGTGGAATCTTTTTTCTATGTGGTCTGATCAATGCTGATTGCAATTGCTGTTCCAACTTCGTTCGATTTTTTAAAAAAGTAGATAGAGTAGATGGGGATAGTCCATACTTTGTCGCAACGTCAGCTTTTTTTATCCCATGATCAACTTCTGAAATAATTTCCAGTTTTTCCTTAATGGAAAATTGTTTACGCTTTTGACCACTCATTATGCTTAAGAAGGAAAACAAAATGCTTGCAAACGTTGAAAGCAGACAAACTGATTTAACTAACCTTCTCCTATTGAAGTTGCACACCACTCTGGTAATTTTCTGAAACTTGTTTACACCCCTTTTACACCTTGAGTTCTTAGAACAG